GACCCTGATCTCTGGAGGCCATGTGGTCAAGCCAGATAGTATAGAGAGACTATGGACACGGCTTCCACTCCACACTCCCTTTTCTGGCCCCCAACATAAGTCACGTGGCTTCTAGCTGGTTTCCTGGAGGGTTCAAAGCAGGGATGTGGGCTCGAGCCTTTGGAGCCTCTTTCCTGTCTCCAGAACCGGCAGAACAATATGCTCACAGAGGGAGTATCTGTCTGGTCTTTCCCTCCTTAGAAGGACCCTTAGGGCCTTCAGGCCTGAAACTCAACACACACCATGAGGAAAGGCCCTCCTCGCAGGTAGGCCTTTGTGCAGTGGGACTGGTGTCCCCCTCAGCGGCATGGACGGCTGCACCTCCAGGCCTGACCCAAACACCACAATGGCCCCACATGGAACCCTTGAGAACCAGTTGGGAGGGGCGAGGCAAGCTGCTTACCCGCATGTTGGGGTCACTTAGTGAGTGCCTGGCACGAGTGATGGCCTCTTCCGTGACCCGGGTGTCCCCATTGGCTTGGATCTCCAGCACAGCCATCTGGGAGGCAGGGCCAGGTCAGGCACGGAGAAGAGACAGCACGGTGAGATGCAGGGTGAGCTATCTGGGAGGCCATGAGGCCCTGGGGCTAGTACCTCCAGCGCACACATCCCAAAGGAGAAGATGTCCACAGCAGTGCCATCGGCAACCTCTGCAGGGGGAAGGGCAAGTCACAGTGGATAGGGGAGATGTGGTGACACCAGGAGCTCCTGGACCCAGGACTCACCGCCGTACTCTGGAGGGAAGAAGTGCAGGTTCCGTAGTTCCTCACGCTCCGCACGTATAGGGCTTCGGAGGTCGTCTGGGAGTGCTGTGGAAAGCACAGAGAATGAGCAGACTGCACCTCTCCATGCCCCCCCAACCCCCTGAGACCCCACGCACCGTTGGAGAAGATGCGGTGCCACACTGCACCGGCCACCACAGGGAGAAAGAGTAGGCGTCAATGTGATGGGGCACTGGATGTCCTCTGCCCAGGGGTTCCCGCAGCCCCCCTCCCCCGCCAGCCCCCCCCCCAACCCCGCCAGCACCGGAGCCAATCTTGATGAGGCCGTTGTGCTGTATGAAGATAGTATCGCTGGTCAGGTTCCCGTGGATGATGGGGGGGCTGCAGGCATGTAGAAAGCTGCAGGGGGAAAGGAGAGCAGGTGCAATCAGGGCGGGGGCACCGAGGGCATGGGGGGTGGCAGAGACCAGGCCAGGCCCTCACCTGAGTGCAGACAGGATCTGCGTGCACCAGCGCTTCCAGGCCTGGTGGCGGATGGACTTCATCGGACGGGTGCGGAGAGGCCGCTGGGCCTGTGGTGCTCACCCTGCACCCCCACCTCCCACCCGACTGGCCCCAGCCCGTTCCCGTTCCCCGAGCTGCCCTCACTCACATCCCTGATGCAGTCCCACCCCACTCCCCGTACCCGAGCATTCATGGCCTTGTGGTTTTTCTTGGTCTTTTTGAGGAATTGCTTGAGGCTGCCTGACGACACGTACTCCGTGATGAAGATGACCTGCGGGGCGGGTGGGCTCCACCAACTGCAGGTGGGTCCCTCCCACCCCCACCCCCCCAGCTGGGCCCTGCCCCACCCTCCGCGTGCCTGTGCTGGGACGTGCCAGTGGCTCACCCGCGCCCGGGCCTCTGAGGCATCCAGCCAGTACTTGTGCAGCTTGACAATGTTGGGGTGGTCGACCAGCACCAGCTGCTCAAACATGGTCTGGATCTTCTCCTGGGAAGGGGTGTGGGGTCACGGGGGAGAGGGGAGGGGGGCACGGCCGCTTGGGGGGTGGGCAGGCCTCACCTCATGGGCTGCGAAGGCCTTCCTGTCCGCGAAGTGCAACTCGTTCCACACCACCTCCACCCCCTCCTCTGTGTCCATGGCCAGGAAGGTGCTCTGGACCCCGGGCATGTTCCCCTGGTTCACCTGGGGGGGGGAGGGGATGGATGCGAGTGTGATGGGTGTCCGGCGGCAGAGTGGGGGCTTGTCTCTGCCCACTCTTTGGAGGGGAGAGCGAGCTGGGTGCTGGCCCTGGCCCCCCGGGAAGCTGGGGCAGCAGTGGTCTCCGGGGGCTGGGCTTGGGGACGCGAAGCAGATTCCGGGGGACTCAGGAGGGTCTTCACCGGGCCAGCGGCCGGTCTGGTGCAGAGGCATAAGGAGGTGGACCTTAGGGAACTGGGGTTCCCCCAGAGAGCGTGGGAACAGGCCAAAGGGGTCCAAGGGCCGCTAACCAGGGGGCAGGTTCCTTGCCCGGCGCCCCCCGCCCGGCGTGGCCTCCCGCGCCCCTCGGCGAGGTGGGCCGTGACCCCGCGCCCCGCCCCGCCCCGCCCCGGCCCGGCCCACCTGCTCCCGCCGCTTCTGCCAGCGGCCGCACGGGCTCTCCTCCAGGATGTCGCTCTCGTCCTCGCTCTCATCCTCCCGCTCCCGCTCCCGGCTCCGCCTGGGCGCTGGCTCCGGGGCCGCCATGGCTCGTCCGGCCCAGGCCGCCGCCCTCGGAGGGAGCCGCCGCCGCCGCCGCTCCCCGCCCGCCCTGGCCCTGCGCCCAGACGCCCCGACGCCCAGCGGGAGCTGAGCCGCCGGCCGCCGCCTCGGGCCCCCACCCAGCTCCCGGAATCCGGAGGCGCGGGCGCCCGGCCCGCGGGGGTGGAGCCCGCCCGCCCCTCGGAAGCCGCCGCCTCGGGCCGGAGCCCTAATGGAGCTTCCCCGCGGTGGGCCGAGCCCGCGCCGCGCCCAGCCCGGGCCCCGCCCGCCGGGAAGGCCCCGCCCGCCGGGAAGGCCCCGCCCACACGAGAGGCCCCACCCACCGAGCAGGTCCCGGCCAGCCCCCCGCTGGCCCCGCCCACCGGGCAGGCCCCGCCCACCCGAGGGCTCGCCCCGCCAGACCCCGCTCCCAGCCCGCCGCCCTGGCCGCCCTGGCCGCCTGTCCCGCCTCGGCCTGCCCCTGCGCTCCCGCTGGGGACCTGCTCCTGCGGAAAGCCTGAGCCCCCAGGCCGCGGGGAGAGGACTCCAGGGTCCCGACCTCGGGGCCCTGGGCGCCAGCCTGCAGCCGGGCACGTGGGGTCCTCCCTGGCCGCCCGGCCACCTGCGTGGGGCCGGGTCAGGGCTCCGGGACACGCCCGGGCCGGCTCTAGGAGCCGCAGGTTCTCCGTGCGCCCCTTCCGCACCGCGCTCCTGCTCCACACACCCCGAGACCCAGCCCCCCGCGGCGGCTCCGAGTCCAGGCTTCGGGCTGCAGCGGGCCCAGGGTGGAGCGCCCCCGAGGGTCCGGGCGTGGCCTGGGGTGGGCATCTGGGAGGCCCCGCTCCTGGCGCCACCGCCGACCCCCAGGAACACGTGGGCCGGGCAGGGGAGGGATGGTCAGCAGGCTGACCAGCCGCTTTTTTTTTTTTTTTTTTTTTTTTTTTTTTAATTTTTTTTTTTTTTTATTTATTTATGATAGTCACACACAGAGAGAGAGAGAGAGAGGCAGAGACACAGGCAGAGGGAGAAGCAGGCTCCATGCACCGGGAGCCCGACGTGGGACTCGATCCGGGGTCTCCAGGATCGCGCCCTGGGCCAAAGACAGGCGCCAAACCGCTGCGCCACCCAGGGATCCCATGACCAGCCGCTTTTAATTCAGGATCACAAACATCCTACTATCTGTAGTTCTGTTCTTCCTATTCGCTTGCAGGTATTCACCATTCCACAATCCGAAATGGCAAATTCCTCCCTTCTCTTCCCCTCCCGTGGATAGCTCCCCACACTCCCCCAGAGGAGGAGGCTAAAGTAGAGGGCCCTCCTGACGCACAGTGCCTTTCTCTCCAGGAGGCTCCTCAGGGGCCCTGTGGCCATGTCAACAGGACACATGCTCTACAATTCTCTAAATCTCCCTTTACCCCACAGCCCCCACTGCCTGCCCATGGTCTCCCTGTCGCACACCAGCTCAGTTCTCACCCATCCTTCATTCTCTCTTTCTAGGGAGAGAACTGGTACACACATGTACCTTCTCTCAAACTCCAACCCCAGCCCTGAACTCCCACTGCATCTCTGTTCCAACGTCCTCAGCCCCACTGCTATATCCGAGTCCATAGGGACACCTCTATTTTCCCCAGATGACACCACATATGGCGTGTGACCCCTTCTTCTACCATCCCCACTGCTATCATCCTTATGTGACCAGCGTTGCTCACAAGGACCACTGCAGCACCCCGCTCCCTGTGTCCTCGCTTCCACCTAGCACCAGTAGGTACTTGGAAAATGTCCCTCACCTGCTCAGAACACCCTCATAGTAAAGAGGGAGACCATCCAGGATGCCTTGTCCCATAGACACCCGCTTTAATTAATGCCTGAGGTTCAAAGATTTTTCTTTTTTATTTATTTATTTTTCTTTTTTCTTTTCAAAGATTTTACTTATTTATTCATAAGAGATACACACAGACTCAGAGACACAGGGAGAGGGGAAAAGCAGGTCCCACGCAGGGAGCAACATGCAGGACTCGATCCCAGGACCCCGGGATCATGCCCTGAGCTGAAGGCAGACACTCAACTGCTAGGCCACCCAGGCACCCCCTATCTAAAGTCTCTTTGCCTAGATGGCTCAGCGATTGAGCGTCTGCCTTCAGACCAAGGCGTGAACCTGGAGTCCCAGGATCGAGTCCCACATGGGGCTCCCTGCATAGAGCCTGCTTCTTCCTATGCCTGCATCTCTGCCTCTCTCTCTGTGTCTCTCATTAATAAATGAATAAAATCTTTAAAAAATTAAAAAAAAACACCTGAATGCTCAAAAATCTGAAAAGGGAAGACCTTTCTTAACATAACATTTCTCTGTAAATTACAAAGGATCTAGTTCCAAAACATGCTAGTTACTCAATCTACCAGGAGACACATTCAGCTAGGCTTCACTCAGCACACCAGTGGGAAGCATGGCCACCAAAGGGACCACAGAGCCACAGAACACTGAACGATACAAAATGCAGTAATCCACATTCAGGAGACATTGCTTAAGTGGAAGCAAAAACATTTAATGAAAAGAGGAATATAAAACGTGATTGTATACACTTCATTGTCATATGCCAAACAAAAAACCAAAAAACAAGAGAAAGGCATCTTAAATTTAAACGGAGCATGTTTTGCTTTTAAAGATTTTATTAATTTATTCATGAGACACAGAGAGAGAGTGTAAGACACACAGGAACAGAGAGAAGCAGGCTCCCTGTAGGGAACCCAACAGGGGACTCCATCCCAGGACTCCAGGATCACACCATGGGCCAAAGGGGGCGCTAAACCGCTGAGCCATGCAGCTGCCCAGTGTAACACGTTTATAGAAAAGGTAACAAAATTCCTCGGATGAGATACAAAAGCACTAAAAAATAAAAAGATTCCACGAGACATAAAAACAAACAATGAAAAGAAACATATAATTCTATTTCCACAAAACTGGGAAAGTGCAGAAACTGGAAGGGAAATGAAAACGTATTATCATGAGATGTGTAAAAAACAAGGTAGAGAAAACAATAACAACAAAAAATTGGAATTTTTCAAGAAGGAAGAAACACCGAAAACCTTTCAACAGACATCCACACAATTCACAAAAAGGGTGAATCTACTCAAGCGAGAGAAAGAAATAACAGACCAGTCTCAGAGTCCAGAGTAGCTATCTGGAGAAGCTGCATGTAGGTGAGGTTCTCGTGCGTGTTGGGGTCGAAGAAGCCCTTGGTGTCGTCGCTCGGGTCGGCCAGCACGCGGTTCATCTCCTCGTCGAAGTAGCCGCGCTGGTAGGCCACGTCCACGGGCAGCCGGTGGCTGTGCACCGGGTCGATGATGCCGCCCGTGGCGACCTGGGCCTCCAGCAGGCGGATGCCGTGGTCGCGCACGATGAGCTCCTTCTGCATGGCCTGGAAGAGCGAGATCTGCTCGCCGGTGTAGGGGTCGGTGTAGCCGGTGACGGCGCGCTCGGCCGACAGCAGCTTGTCCTGGATCTCGCCGCCCACCAGGCCCGCGGCCACCGCCTCCTCCACGGTGAGCCCCTGGTTGCGCACGGGGTCGATGAGGAAGCCCGTGGCCGCCTGCGCCTCGAGCAGCACCAGGGCCGTGCCGGGCCGCAGGACGCCCTTCCACATGGCCTGGTAGACGCTCATCTTCTCCTGCCGCCCGGGCTCGTCCTTGGCGGGCACCAGCACGCCCGCGATGCAGCTCGTGCCGCGCAGGTAGCGCTTGACCGAGTCCATCTCGGTCACCTCCTGCGGGGTCTTGGTGCCCTGGGCCAGGTCGCGCAGGGTCTCGGGGCCCAGGATCCCGGACGAGCGCAGCTCGGAGGCCGACACCTGGCGCCGCAGGCCGCGGAAGGTCACCTTGCTCAGCCGCTCCTCCGCCTCCTCCACCGCCCGGGTGAGGATGGCCACCAGGCCCGGCAGCGCCAGGGCGCCGGCCGCGTGCTGGGCCAGGAGCTCGTCCCGCCGGGCCCGGCTCAGGTAGGAGGAGAAGAGGACGTCCCACACGGAGGGCCGCTGCCCGCGCAACGGCCCGGCCTGCACCTCCATGGTGGCGGCACGCAGGGCCTGCTCCTGGGGGCCGCCGGCGGGCTCGGTGGCCGCCTCGCCGGGGGAGGGTCCCGCGCCCCTGCCGCCGTCGCTGCCGCCGGGCCCGGCCGGCCGCGGCTCCTGCTGGACGCCGGCGGCGTCGCCCGGGGCGCGCTCGGGCCCGCCGGCCGCCTCCACCTCCTCGATGATGGTGGTCAGCCTGCGGGTCAGCGCGGCCAAGCCCAGCGCCCCCGAGCCGAACCCGGCCAGCAGCTGCTCCCGCGTGGCGCCGCTCACGTAGCTGGACGCCAGCACGTCCCACACGGGCACCGCCGGCCCCCGCAGGCGGCCCAGCTTGACCTCCATGGTGGCGGCACGCAGGGCCCCTCGGGGGTCCGGGGGGCGCGCGCCCGGGCTCGCGGGGTCGCGACGGGCCAGCAGCGCGGTGAGGGCGGCGCCCACCTCGTGCGCGGTCAGCGAGCCCGCCCGGTACCTGCGCAGCAGGTCCTGCCGCTCGCCCTCGGGCACCTCCCGGTAGAAGAGGAGCTCCCAGACCGAGACGCTCTGGCCCTGGGCGACGCCCGGGCCCGGCGCCACGCGGGCGTCACGCAGGGCGCCGCGCAGCTCCTCGCTCAGCTGGTGCACGGCGGAGCCCCCCGCGGCCAGCTGCAGCATGTAGAGCCCCGTGTCGGGGTCGAGCACGCAGCGGCGCAGCAGCTGCACGTACGTGAGGTTCTCGTGCGTGTTGGGGTCGAAGAAGCCCTTGGTGTCGTCGCTCGGGTCGGCCAGCACGCGGTTCATCTCCTCGTCGAAGTAGCCGCGCTGGTAGGCCACGTCCACGGGCAGCCGGTGGCTGTGCACCGGGTCGATGATGCCGCCCGTGGCGACCTGGGCCTCCAGCAGGCGGATGCCGTGGTCGCGCACGATGAGCTCCTTCTGCATGGCCTGGAAGAGCGAGATCTGCTCGCCGGTGTAGGGGTCGGTGTAGCCGGTGACGGCGCGCTCGGCCGACAGCAGCTTGTCCTGGATCTCGCCGCCCACCAGGCCCGCGGCCACCGCCTCCTCCACGGTGAGCCCCTGGTTGCGCACGGGGTCGATGAGGAAGCCCGTGGCCGCCTGCGCCTCGAGCAGCACCAGGGCCGTGCCGGGCCGCAGGACGCCCTTCCACATGGCCTGGTAGACGCTCATCTTCTCCTGCCGCCCGGGCTCGTCCTTGGCGGGCACCAGCACGCCCGCGATGCAGCTCGTGCCGCGCAGGTAGCGCTTGACCGAGTCCATCTCGGTCACCTCCTGCGGGGTCTTGGTGCCCTGGGCCAGGTCGCGCAGGGTCTCGGGGCCCAGGATCCCGGACGAGCGCAGCTCGGAGGCCGACACCTGGCGCCGCAGGCCGCGGAAGGTCACCTTGCTCAGCCGCTCCTCCGCCTCCTCCACCGCCCGGGTGAGGATGGCCACCAGGCCCGGCAGCGCCAGGGCGCCGGCCGCGTGCTGGGCCAGGAGCTCGTCCCGCCGGGCCCGGCTCAGGTAGGAGGAGAAGAGGACGTCCCACACGGAGGGCCGCTGCCCGCGCAACGGCCCGGCCTGCACCTCCATGGTGGCGGCACGCAGGGCCTGCTCCTGGGGGCCGCCGGCGGGCTCGGTGGCCGCCTCGCCGGGGGAGGGTCCCGCGCCCCTGCCGCCGTCGCTGCCGCCGGGCCCGGCCGGCCGCGGCTCCTGCTGGACGCCGGCGGCGTCGCCCGGGGCGCGCTCGGGCCCGCCGGCCGCCTCCACCTCCTCGATGATGGTGGTCAGCCTGCGGGTCAGCGCGGCCAAGCCCAGCGCCCCCGAGCCGAACCCGGCCAGCAGCTGCTCCCGCGTGGCGCCGCTCACGTAGCTGGACGCCAGCACGTCCCACACGGGCACCGCCGGCCCCCGCAGGCGGCCCAGCTTGACCTCCATGGTGGCGGCACGCAGGGCCCCTCGGGGGTCCGGGGGGCGCGCGCCCGGGCTCGCGGGGTCGCGACGGGCCAGCAGCGCGGTGAGGGCGGCGCCCACCTCGTGCGCGGTCAGCGAGCCCGCCCGGTACCTGCGCAGCAGGTCCTGCCGCTCGCCCTCGGGCACCTCCCGGTAGAAGAGGAGCTCCCAGACCGAGACGCTCTGGCCCTGGGCGACGCCCGGGCCCGGCGCCACGCGGGCGTCACGCAGGGCGCCGCGCAGCTCCTCGCTCAGCTGGTGCACGGCGGAGCCCCCCGCGGCCAGCTGCAGCATGTAGAGCCCCGTGTCGGGGTCGAGCACGCAGCGGCGCAGCAGCTGCACGTACGTGAGGTTCTCGTGCGTGTTGGGGTCGAAGAAGCCCTTGGTGTCGTCGCTCGGGTCGGCCAGCACGCGGTTCATCTCCTCGTCGAAGTAGCCGCGCTGGTAGGCCACGTCCACGGGCAGCCGGTGGCTGTGCACCGGGTCGATGATGCCGCCCGTGGCGACCTGGGCCTCCAGCAGGCGGATGCCGTGGTCGCGCACGATGAGCTCCTTCTGCATGGCCTGGAAGAGCGAGATCTGCTCGCCGGTGTAGGGGTCGGTGTAGCCGGTGACGGCGCGCTCGGCCGACAGCAGCTTGTCCTGGATCTCGCCGCCCACCAGGCCCGCGGCCACCGCCTCCTCCACGGTGAGCCCCTGGTTGCGCACGGGGTCGATGAGGAAGCCCGTGGCCGCCTGCGCCTCGAGCAGCACCAGGGCCGTGCCGGGCCGCAGGACGCCCTTCCACATGGCCTGGTAGACGCTCATCTTCTCCTGCCGCCCGGGCTCGTCCTTGGCGGGCACCAGCACGCCCGCGATGCAGCTCGTGCCGCGCAGGTAGCGCTTGACCGAGTCCATCTCGGTCACCTCCTGCGGGGTCTTGGTGCCCTGGGCCAGGTCGCGCAGGGTCTCGGGGCCCAGGATCCCGGACGAGCGCAGCTCGGAGGCCGACACCTGGCGCCGCAGGCCGCGGAAGGTCACCTTGCTCAGCCGCTCCTCCGCCTCCTCCACCGCCCGGGTGAGGATGGCCACCAGGCCCGGCAGCGCCAGGGCGCCGGCCGCGTGCTGGGCCAGGAGCTCGTCCCGCCGGGCCCGGCTCAGGTAGGAGGAGAAGAGGACGTCCCACACGGAGGGCCGCTGCCCGCGCAACGGCCCGGCCTGCACCTCCATGGTGGCGGCACGCAGGGCCTGCTCCTGGGGGCCGCCGGCGGGCTCGGTGGCCGCCTCGCCGGGGGAGGGTCCCGCGCCCCTGCCGCCGTCGCTGCCGCCGGGCCCGGCCGGCCGCGGCTCCTGCTGGACGCCGGCGGCGTCGCCCGGGGCGCGCTCGGGCCCGCCGGCCGCCTCCACCTCCTCGATGATGGTGGTCAGCCTGCGGGTCAGCGCGGCCAAGCCCAGCGCCCCCGAGCCGAACCCGGCCAGCAGCTGCTCCCGCGTGGCGCCGCTCACGTAGCTGGACGCCAGCACGTCCCACACGGGCACCGCCGGCCCCCGCAGGCGGCCCAGCTTGACCTCCATGGTGGCGGCACGCAGGGCCCCTCGGGGGTCCGGGGGGCGCGCGCCCGGGCTCGCGGGGTCGCGACGGGCCAGCAGCGCGGTGAGGGCGGCGCCCACCTCGTGCGCGGTCAGCGAGCCCGCCCGGTACCTGCGCAGCAGGTCCTGCCGCTCGCCCTCGGGCACCTCCCGGTAGAAGAGGAGCTCCCAGACCGAGACGCTCTGGCCCTGGGCGACGCCCGGGCCCGGCGCCACGCGGGCGTCACGCAGGGCGCCGCGCAGCTCCTCGCTCAGCTGGTGCACGGCGGAGCCCCCCGCGGCCAGCTGCAGCATGTAGAGCCCCGTGTCGGGGTCGAGCACGCAGCGGCGCAGCAGCTGCACGTACGTGAGGTTCTCGTGCGTGTTGGGGTCGAAGAAGCCCTTGGTGTCGTCGCTCGGGTCGGCCAGCACGCGGTTCATCTCCTCGTCGAAGTAGCCGCGCTGGTAGGCCACGTCCACGGGCAGCCGGTGGCTGTGCACCGGGTCGATGATGCCGCCCGTGGCGACCTGGGCCTCCAGCAGGCGGATGCCGTGGTCGCGCACGATGAGCTCCTTCTGCATGGCCTGGAAGAGCGAGATCTGCTCGCCGGTGTAGGGGTCGGTGTAGCCGGTGACGGCGCGCTCGGCCGACAGCAGCTTGTCCTGGATCTCGCCGCCCACCAGGCCCGCGGCCACCGCCTCCTCCACGGTGAGCCCCTGGTTGCGCACGGGGTCGATGAGGAAGCCCGTGGCCGCCTGCGCCTCGAGCAGCACCAGGGCCGTGCCGGGCCGCAGGACGCCCTTCCACATGGCCTGGTAGACGCTCATCTTCTCCTGCCGCCCGGGCTCGTCCTTGGCGGGCACCAGCACGCCCGCGATGCAGCTCGTGCCGCGCAGGTAGCGCTTGACCGAGTCCATCTCGGTCACCTCCTGCGGGGTCTTGGTGCCCTGGGCCAGGTCGCGCAGGGTCTCGGGGCCCAGGATCCCGGACGAGCGCAGCTCGGAGGCCGACACCTGGCGCCGCAGGCCGCGGAAGGTCACCTTGCTCAGCCGCTCCTCCGCCTCCTCCACCGCCCGGGTGAGGATGGCCACCAGGCCCGGCAGCGCCAGGGCGCCGGCCGCGTGCTGGGCCAGGAGCTCGTCCCGCCGGGCCCGGCTCAGGTAGGAGGAGAAGAGGACGTCCCACACGGAGGGCCGCTGCCCGCGCAACGGCCCGGCCTGCACCTCCATGGTGGCGGCACGCAGGGCCTGCTCCTGGGGGCCGCCGGCGGGCTCGGTGGCCGCCTCGCCGGGGGAGGGTCCCGCGCCCCTGCCGCCGTCGCTGCCGCCGGGCCCGGCCGGCCGCGGCTCCTGCTGGACGCCGGCGGCGTCGCCCGGGGCGCGCTCGGGCCCGCCGGCCGCCTCCACCTCCTCGATGATGGTGGTCAGCCTGCGGGTCAGCGCGGCCAAGCCCAGCGCCCCCGAGCCGAACCCGGCCAGCAGCTGCTCCCGCGTGGCGCCGCTCACGTAGCTGGACGCCAGCACGTCCCACACGGGCACCGCCGGCCCCCGCAGGCGGCCCAGCTTGACCTCCATGGTGGCGGCACGCAGGGCCCCTCGGGGGTCCGGGGGGCGCGCGCCCGGGCTCGCGGGGTCGCGACGGGCCAGCAGCGCGGTGAGGGCGGCGCCCACCTCGTGCGCGGTCAGCGAGCCCGCCCGGTACCTGCGCAGCAGGTCCTGCCGCTCGCCCTCGGGCACCTCCCGGTAGAAGAGGAGCTCCCAGACCGAGACGCTCTGGCCCTGGGCGACGCCCGGGCCCGGCGCCACGCGGGCGTCACGCAGGGCGCCGCGCAGCTCCTCGCTCAGCTGGTGCACGGCGGAGCCCCCCGCGGCCAGCTGCAGCATGTAGAGCCCCGTGTCGGGGTCGAGCACGCAGCGGCGCAGCAGCTGCACGTACGTGAGGTTCTCGTGCGTGTTGGGGTCGAAGAAGCCCTTGGTGTCGTCGCTCGGGTCGGCCAGCACGCGGTTCATCTCCTCGTCGAAGTAGCCGCGCTGGTAGGCCACGTCCACGGGCAGCCGGTGGCTGTGCACCGGGTCGATGATGCCGCCCGTGGCGACCTGGGCCTCCAGCAGGCGGATGCCGTGGTCGCGCACGATGAGCTCCTTCTGCATGGCCTGGAAGAGCGAGATCTGCTCGCCGGTGTAGGGGTCGGTGTAGCCGGTGACGGCGCGCTCGGCCGACAGCAGCTTGTCCTGGATCTCGCCGCCCACCAGGCCCGCGGCCACCGCCTCCTCCACGGTGAGCCCCTGGTTGCGCACGGGGTCGATGAGGAAGCCCGTGGCCGCCTGCGCCTCGAGCAGCACCAGGGCCGTGCCGGGCCGCAGGACGCCCTTCCACATGGCCTGGTAGACGCTCATCTTCTCCTGCCGCCCGGGCTCGTCCTTGGCGGGCACCAGCACGCCCGCGATGCAGCTCGTGCCGCGCAGGTAGCGCTTGACCGAGTCCATCTCGGTCACCTCCTGCGGGGTCTTGGTGCCCTGGGCCAGGTCGCGCAGGGTCTCGGGGCCCAGGATCCCGGACGAGCGCAGCTCGGAGGCCGACACCTGGCGCCGCAGGCCGCGGAAGGTCACCTTGCTCAGCCGCTCCTCCGCCTCCTCCACCGCCCGGGTGAGGATGGCCACCAGGCCCGGCAGCGCCAGGGCGCCGGCCGCGTGCTGGGCCAGGAGCTCGTCCCGCCGGGCCCGGCTCAGGTAGGAGGAGAAGAGGACGTCCCACACGGAGGGCCGCTGCCCGCGCAACGGCCCGGCCTGCACCTCCATGGTGGCGGCACGCAGGGCCTGCTCCTGGGGGCCGCCGGCGGGCTCGGTGGCCGCCTCGCCGGGGGAGGGTCCCGCGCCCCTGCCGCCGTCGCTGCCGCCGGGCCCGGCCGGCCGCGGCTCCTGCTGGACGCCGGCGGCGTCGCCCGGGGCGCGCTCGGGCCCGCCGGCCGCCTCCACCTCCTCGATGATGGTGGTCAGCCTGCGGGTCAGCGCGGCCAAGCCCAGCGCCCCCGAGCCGAACCCGGCCAGCAGCTGCTCCCGCGTGGCGCCGCTCACGTAGCTGGACGCCAGCACGTCCCACACGGGCACCGCCGGCCCCCGCAGGCGGCCCAGCTTGACCTCCATGGTGGCGGCACGCAGGGCCCCTCGGGGGTCCGGGGGGCGCGCGCCCGGGCTCGCGGGGTCGCGACGGGCCAGCAGCGCGGTGAGGGCGGCGCCCACCTCGTGCGCGGTCAGCGAGCCCGCCCGGTACCTGCGCAGCAGGTCCTGCCGCTCGCCCTCGGGCACCTCCCGGTAGAAGAGGAGCTCCCAGACCGAGACGCTCTGGCCCTGGGCGACGCCCGGGCCCGGCGCCACGCGGGCGTCACGCAGGGCGCCGCGCAGCTCCTCGCTCAGCTGGTGCACGGCGGAGCCCCCCGCGGCCAGCTGCAGCATGTAGAGCCCCGTGTCGGGGTCGAGCACGCAGCGGCGCAGCAGCTGCACGTACGTGAGGTTCTCGTGCGTGTTGGGGTCGAAGAAGCCCTTGGTGTCGTCGCTCGGGTCGGCCAGCACGCGGTTCATCTCCTCGTCGAAGTAGCCGCGCTGGTAGGCCACGTCCACGGGCAGCCGGTGGCTGTGCACCGGGTCGATGATGCCGCCCGTGGCGACCTGGGCCTCCAGCAGGCGGATGCCGTGGTCGCGCACGATGAGCTCCTTCTGCATGGCCTGGAAGAGCGAGATCTGCTCGCCGGTGTAGGGGTCGGTGTAGCCGGTGACGGCGCGCTCGGCCGACAGCAGCTTGTCCTGGATCTCGCCGCCCACCAGGCCCGCGGCCACCGCCTCCTCCACGGTGAGCCCCTGGTTGCGCACGGGGTCGATGAGGAAGCCCGTGGCCGCCTGCGCCTCGAGCAGCACCAGGGCCGTGCCGGGCCGCAGGACGCCCTTCCACATGGCCTGGTAGACGCTCATCTTCTCCTGCCGCCCGGGCTCGTCCTTGGCGGGCACCAGCACGCCCGCGATGCAGCTCGTGCCGCGCAGGTAGCGCTTGACCGAGTCCATCTCGGTCACCTCCTGCGGGGTCTTGGTGCCCTGGGCCAGGTCGCGCAGGGTCTCGGGGCCCAGGATCCCGGACGAGCGCAGCTCGGAGGCCGACACCTGGCGCCGCAGGCCGCGGAAGGTCACCTTGCTCAGCCGCTCCTCCGCCTCCTCCACCGCCCGGGTGAGGATGGCCACCAGGCCCGGCAGCGCCAGGGCGCCGGCCGCGTGCTGGGCCAGGAGCTCGTCCCGCCGGGCCCGGCTCAGGTAGGAGGAGAAGAGGACGTCCCACACGGAGGGCCGCTGCCCGCGCAACGGCCCGGCCTGCACCTCCATGGTGGCGGCACGCAGGGCCTGCTCCTGGGGGCCGCCGGCGGGCTCGGTGGCCGCCTCGCCGGGGGAGGGTCCCGCGCCCCTGCCGCCGTCGCTGCCGCCGGGCCCGGCCGGCCGCGGCTCCTGCTGGACGCCGGCGGCGTCGCCCGGGGCGCGCTCGGGCCCGCCGGCCGCCTCCACCTCCTCGATGATGGTGGTCAGCCTGCGGGTCAGCGCGGCCAAGCCCAGCGCCCCCGAGCCGAACCCGGCCAGCAGCTGCTCCCGCGTGGCGCCGCTCACGTAGCTGGACGCCAGCACGTCCCACACGGGCACCGCCGGCCCCCGCAGGCGGCCCAGCTTGACCTCCATGGTGGCGGCACGCAGGGCCCCTCGGGGGTCCGGGGGGCGCGCGCCCGGGCTCGCGGGGTCGCGACGGGCCAGCAGCGCGGTGAGGGCGGCGCCCACCTCGTGCGCGGTCAGCGAGCCCGCCCGGTACCTGCGCAGCAGGTCCTGCCGCTCGCCCTCGGGCACCTCCCGGTAGAAGAGGAGCTCCCAGACCGAGACGCTCTGGCCCTGGGCGACGCCCGGGCCCGGCGCCACGCGGGCGTCACGCAGGGCGCCGCGCAGCTCCTCGCTCAGCTGGTGCACGGCGGAGCCCCCCGCGGCCAGCTGCAGCATGTAGAGCCCCGTGTCGGGGTCGAGCACGCAGCGGCGCAGCAGCTGCACGTACGTGAGGTTCTCGTGCGTGTTGGGGTCGAAGAAGCCCTTGGTGTCGTCGCTCGGGTCGGCCAGCACGCGGTTCATCTCCTCGTCGAAGTAGCCGCGCTGGTAGGCCACGTCCACGGGCAGCCGGTGGCTGTGCACCGGGTCGATGATGCCGCCCGTGGCGACCTGGGCCTCCAGCAGGCGGATGCCGTGGTCGCGCACGATGAGCTCCTTCTGCATGGCCTGGAAGAGCGAGATCTGCTCGCCGGTGTAGGGGTCGGTGTAGCCGGTGACGGCGCGCTCGGCCGACAGCAGCTTGTCCTGGATCTCGCCGCCCACCAGGCCCGCGGCCACCGCCTCCTCCACGGTGAGCCCCTGGTTGCGCACGGGGTCGATGAGGAAGCCCGTGGCCGCCTGCGCCTCGAGCAGCACCAGGGCCGTGCCGGGCCGCAGGACGCCCTTCCACATGGCCTGGTAGACGCTCATCTTCTCCTGCCGCCCGGGCTCGTCCTTGGCGGGCACCAGCACGCCCGCGATGCAGCTCGTGCCGCGCAGGTAGCGCTTGACCGAGTCCATCTCGGTCACCTCCTGCGGGGTCTTGGTGCCCTGGGCCAGGTCGCGCAGGGTCTCGGGGCCCAGGATCCCGGACGAGCGCAGCTCGGAGGCCGACACCTGGCGCCGCAGGCCGCGGAAGGTCACCTTGCTCAGCCGCTCCTCCGCCTCCTCCACCGCCCGGGTGAGGATGGCCACCAGGCCCGGCAGCGCCAGGGCGCCGGCCGCGTGCTGGGCCAGGAGCTCGTCCCGCCGGGCCCGGCTCAGGTAGGAGGAGAAGAGGACGTCCCACACGGAGGGCCGCTGCCCGCGCAACGGCCCGGCCTGCACCTCCATGGTGGCGGCACGCAGGGCCTGCTCCTGGGGGCCGCCGGCGGGCTCGGTGGCCGCCTCGCCGGGGGAGGGTCCCGCGCCCCTGCCGCCGTCGCTGCCGCCGGGCCCGGCCGGCCGCGGCTCCTGCTGGACGCCGGCGGCGTCGCCCGGGGCGCGCTCGGGCCCGCCGGCCGCCTCCACCTCCTCGATGATGGTGGTCAGCCTGCGGGTCAGCGCGGCCAAGCCCAGCGCCCCCGAGCCGAACCCGGCCAGCAGCTGCTCCCGCGTGGCGCCGCTCACGTAGCTGGACGCCAGCACGTCCCACACGGGCACCGCCGGCCCCCGCAGGCGGCCCAGCTTGACCTCCATGGTGGCGGCACGCAGGGCCCCTCGGGGGTCCGGGGGGCGCGCGCCCGGGCTCGCGGGGTCGCGACGGGCCAGCAGCGCGGTGAGGGCGGCGCCCACCTCGTGCGCGGTCAGCGAGCCCGCCCGGTACCTGCGCAGCAGGTCCTGCCGCTCGCCCTCGGGCACCTCCCGGTAGAAGAGGAGCTCCCAGACCGAGACGCTCTGGCCCTGGGCGACGCCCGGGCCCGGCGCCACGCGGGCGTCACGCAGGGCGCCGCGCAGCTCCTCGCTCAGCTGGTGCACGGCGGAGCCCCCCGCGGCCAGCTGCAGCATGTAGAGCCCCGTGTCGGGGTCGAGCACGCAGCGGCGCAGCAGCTGCACGTACGTGAGGTTCTCGTGCGTGTTGGGGTCGAAGAAGCCCTTGGTGTCGTCGCTCGGGTCGGCCAGCACGCGGTTCATCTCCTCGTCGAAGTAGCCGCGCTGGTAGGCCACGTCCACGGGCAGCCGGTGGCTGTGCACCGGGTCGATGATGCCGCCCGTGGCGACCTGGGCCTCCAGCAGGCGGATGCCGTGGTCGCGCACGATGAGCTCCTTCTGCATGGCCTGGAAGAGCGAGATCTGCTCGCCGGTGTAGGGGTCGGTGTAGCCGGTGACGGCGCGCTCGGCCGACAGCAGCTTGTCCTGGATCTCGCCGCCCACCAGGCCCGCGGCCACCGCCTCCTCCACGGTGAGCCCCTGGTTGCGCACGGGGTCGATGAGGAAGCCCGTGGCCGCCTGCGCCTCGAGCAGCACCAGGGCCGTGCCGGGCCGCAGGACGCCCTTCCACATGGCCTGGTAGACGCTCATCTTCTCCTGCCGCCCGGGCTCGTCCTTGGCGGGCACCAGCACGCCCGCGATGCAGCTCGTGCCGCGCAGGTAGCGCTTGACCGAGTCCATCTCGGTCACCTCCTGCGGGGTCTTGGTGCCCTGGGCCAGGTCGCGCAGGGTCTCGGGGCCCAGGATCCCGGACGAGCGCAGCTCGGAGGCCGACACCTGGCGCCGCAGGCCGCGGAAGGTCACCTTGCTCAGCCGCTCCTCCGCCTCCTCCACCGCCCGGGTGAGGATGGCCACCAGGCCCGGCAGCGCCAGGGCGCCGGCCGCGTGCTGGGCCAGGAGCTCGTCCCGCCGGGCCCGGCTCAGGTAGGAGGAGAAGAGGACGTCCCACACGGAGGGCCGCTGCCCGCGCAACGGCCCGGCCTGCACCTCCATGGTGGCGGCACGCAGGGCCTGCTCCTGGGGGCCGCCGGCGGGCTCGGTGGCCGCCTCGCCGGGGGAGGGTCCCGCGCCCCTGCCGCCGTCGCTGCCGCCGGGCCCGGCCGGCCGCGGCTCCTGCTGGACGCCGGCGGCGTCGCCCGGGGCGCGCTCGGGCCCGCCGGCCGCCTCCACCTCCTCGATGATGGTGGTCAGCCTGCGGGTCAGCGCGGCCAAGCCCAGCGCCCCCGAGCCGAACCCGGCCAGCAGCTGCTCCCGCGTGGCGCCGCTCACGTAGCTGGACGCCAGCACGTCCCACACGGGCACCGCCGGCCCCCGCAGGCGGCCCAGCTTGACCTCCATGGTGGCGGCACGCAGGGCCCCTCGGGGGTCCGGGGGGCGCGCGCCCGGGCTCGCGGGGTCGCGACGGGCCAGCAGCGCGGTGAGGGCGGCGCCCACCTCGTGCGCGGTCAGCGAGCCCGCCCGGTACCTGCGCAGCAGGTCCTGCCGCTCGCCCTCGGGCACCTCCCGGTAGAAGAGGAGCTCCCAGACCGAGACGCTCTGGCCCTGGGCGACGCCCGGGCCCGGCGCCACGCGGGCGTCACGCAGGGCGCCGCGCAGCTCCTCGCTCAGCTGGTGCACGGCGGAGCCCCCCGCGGCCAGCTGCAGCATGTAGAGCCCCGTGTCGGGGTCGAGCACGCAGCGGCGCAGCAGCTGCACGTACGTGAGGTTCTCGTGCGTGTTGGGGTCGAAGAAGCCCTTGGTGTCGTCGCTCGGGTCGGCCAGCACGCGGTTCATCTCCTCGTCGAAGTAGCCGCGCTGGTAGGCCACGTCCACGGGCAGCCGGTGGCTGTGCACCGGGTCGATGATGCCGCCCGTGGCGACCTGGGCCTCCAGCAGGCGGATGCCGTGGTCGCGCACGATGAGCTCCTTCTGCATGGCCTGGAAGAGCGAGATCTGCTCGCCGGTGTAGGGGTCGGTGTAGCCGGTGACGGCGCGCTCGGCCGACAGCAGCTTGTCCTGGATCTCGCCGCCCACCAGGCCCGCGGCCACCGCCTCCTCCACGGTGAGCCCCTGGTTGCGCACGGGGTCGATGAGGAAGCCCGTGGCCGCCTGCGCCTCGAGCAGCACCAGGGCCGTGCCGGGCCGCAGGACGCCCTTCCACATGGCCTGGTAGACGCTCATCTTCTCCTGCCGCCCGGGCTCGTCCTTGGCGGGCACCAGCACGCCCGCGATGCAGCTCGTGCCGCGCAGGTAGCGCTTGACCGAGTCCATCTCGGTCACCTCCTGCGGGGTCTTGGTGCCCTGGGCCAGGTCGCGCAGGGTCTCGGGGCCCAGGATCCCGGACGAGCGCAGCTCGGAGGCCGACACCTGGCGCCGCAGGCCGCGGAAGGTCACCTTGCTCAGCCGCTCCTCCGCCTCCTCCACCGCCCGGGTGAGGATGGCCACCAGGCCCGGCAGCGCCAGGGCGCCGGCCGCGTGCTGGGCCAGGAGCTCGTCCCGCCGGGCCCGGCTCAGGTAGGAGGAGAAGAGGACGTCCCACACGGAGGGCCGCTGCCCGCGCAACGGCCCGGCCTGCACCTCCATGGTGGCGGCACGCAGGGCCTGCTCCTGGGGGCCGCCGGCGGGCTCGGTGGCCGCCTCGCCGGGGGAGGGTCCCGCGCCCCTGCCGCCGTCGCTGCCGCCGGGCCCGGCCGGCCGCGGCTCCTGCTGGACGCCGGCGGCGTCGCCCGGGGCGCGCTCGGGCCCGCCGGCCGCCTCCACCTCCTCGATGATGGTGGTCAGCCTGCGGGTCAGCGCGGCCAAGCCCAGCGCCCCCGAGCCGAACCCGGCCAGCAGCTGCTCCCGCGTGGCGCCGCTCACGTAGCTGGACGCCAGCACGTCCCACACGGGCACCGCCGGCCCCCGCAGGCGGCCCAGCTTGACCTCCATGGTGGCGGCACGCAGGGCCCCTCGGGGGTCCGGGGGGCGCGCGCCCGGGCTCGCGGGGTCGCGACGGGCCAGCAGCGCGGTGAGGGCGGCGCCCACCTCGTGCGCGGTCAGCGAGCCCGCCCGGTACCTGCGCAGCAGGTCCTGCCGCTCGCCCTCGGGCACCTCCCGGTAGAAGAGGAGCTCCCAGACCGAGACGCTCTGGCCCTGGGCGACGCCCGGGCCCGGCGCCACGCGGGCGTCACGCAGGGCGCCGCGCAGCTCCTCGCTCAGCTGGTGCACGGCGGAGCCCCCCGCGGCCAGCTGCAGCATGTAGAGCCCCGTGTCGGGGTCGAGCACGCAGCGGCGCAGCAGCTGCACGTACGTGAGGTTCTCGTGCGTGTTGGGGTCGAAGAAGCCCTTGGTGTCGTCGCTCGGGTCGGCCAGCACGCGGTTCATCTCCTCGTCGAAGTAGCCGCGCTGGTAGGCCACGTCCACGGGCAGCCGGTGGCTGTGCACCGGGTCGATGATGCCGCCCGTGGCGACCTGGGCCTCCAGCAGGCGGATGCCGTGGTCGCGCACGATGAGCTCCTTCTGCATGGCCTGGAAGAGCGAGATCTGCTCGCCGGTGTAGGGGTCGGTGTAGCCGGTGACGGCGCGCTCGGCCGACAGCAGCTTGTCCTGGATCTCGCCGCCCACCAGGCCCGCGGCCACCGCCTCCTCCACGGTGAGCCCCTGGTTGCGCACGGGGTCGATGAGGAAGCCCGTGGCCGCCTGCGCCTCGAGCAGCACCAGGGCCGTGCCGGGCCGCAGGACGCCCTTCCACATGGCCTGGTAGACGCTCATCTTCTCCTGCCGCCCGGGCTCGTCCTTGGCGGGCACCAGCACGCCCGCGATGCAGCTCGTGCCGCGCAGGTAGCGCTTGACCGAGTCCATCTCGGTCACCTCCTGCGGGGTCTTGGTGCCCTGGGCCAGGTCGCGCAGGGTCTCGGGGCCCAGGATCCCGGACGAGCGCAGCTCGGAGGCCGACACCTGGCGCCGCAGGCCGCGGAAGGTCACCTTGCTCAGCCGCTCCTCCGCCTCCTCCACCGCCCGGGTGAGGATGGCCACCAGGCCCGGCAGCGCCAGGGCGCCGGCCGCGTGCTGGGCCAGGAGCTCGTCCCGCCGGGCCCGGCTCAGGTAGGAGGAGAAGAGGACGTCCCACACGGAGGGCCGCTGCCCGCGCAACGGCCCGGCCTGCACCTCCATGGTGGCGGCACGCAGGGCCTGCTCCTGGGGGCCGCCGGCGGGCTCGGTGGCCGCCTCGCCGGGGGAGGGTCCCGCGCCCCTGCCGCCGTCGCTGCCGCCGGGCCCGGCCGGCCGCGGCTCCTGCTGGACGCCGGCGGCGTCGCCCGGGGCGCGCTCGGGCCCGCCGGCCGCCTCCACCTCCTCGATGATGGTGGTCAGCCTGCGGGTCAGCGCGGCCAAGCCCAGCGCCCCCGAGCCGAACCCGGCCAGCAGCTGCTCCCGCGTGGCGCCGCTCACGTAGCTGGACGCCAGCACGTCCCACACGGGCACCGCCGGCCCCCGCAGGCGGCCCAGCTTGACCTCCATGGTGGCGGCACGCAGGGCCCCTCGGGGGTCCGGGGGGCGCGCGCCCGGGCTCGCGGGGTCGCGACGGGCCAGCAGCGCGGTGAGGGCGGCGCCCACCTCGTGCGCGGTCAGCGAGCCCGCCCGGTACCTGCGCAGCAGGTCCTGCCGCTCGCCCTCGGGCACCTCCCGGTAGAAGAGGAGCTCCCAGACCGAGACGCTCTGGCCCTGGGCGACGCCCGGGCCCGGCGCCACGCGGGCGTCACGCAGGGCGCCGCGCAGCTCCTCGCTCAGCTGGTGCACGGCGGAGCCCCCCGCGGCCAGCTGCAGCATGTAGAGCCCCGTGTCGGGGTCGAGCACGCAGCGGCGCAGCAGCTGCACGTACGTGAGGTTCTCGTGCGTGTTGGGGTCGAAGAAGCCCTTGGTGTCGTCGCTCGGGTCGGCCAGCACGCGGTTCATCTCCTCGTCGAAGTAGCCGCGCTGGTAGGCCACGTCCACGGGCAGCCGGTGGCTGTGCACCGGGTCGATGATGCCGCCCGTGGCGACCTGGGCCTCCAGCAGGCGGATGCCGTGGTCGCGCACGATGAGCTCCTTCTGCATGGCCTGGAAGAGCGAGATCTGCTCGCCGGTGTAGGGGTCGGTGTAGCCGGTGACGGCGCGCTCGGCCGACAGCAGCTTGTCCTGGATCTCGCCGCCCACCAGGCCCGCGGCCACCGCCTCCTCCACGGTGAGCCCCTGGTTGCGCACGGGGTCGATGAGGAAGCCCGTGGCCGCCTGCGCCTCGAGCAGCACCAGGGCCGTGCCGGGCCGCAGGACGCCCTTCCACATGGCCTGGTAGACGCTCATCTTCTCCTGCCGCCCGGGCTCGTCCTTGGCGGGCACCAGCACGCCCGCGATGCAGCTCGTGCCGCGCAGGTAGCGCTTGACCGAGTCCATCTCGGTCACCTCCTGCGGGGTCTTGGTGCCCTGGGCCAGGTCGCGCAGGGTCTCGGGGCCCAGGATCCCGGACGAGCGCAGCTCGGAGGCCGACACCTGGCGCCGCAGGCCGCGGAAGGTCACCTTGCTCAGCCGCTCCTCCGCCTCCTCCACCGCCCGGGTGAGGATGGCCACCAGGCCCGGCAGCGCCAGGGCGCCGGCCGCGTGCTGGGCCAGGAGCTCGTCCCGCCGGGCCCGGCTCAGGTAGGAGGAGAAGAGGACGTCCCACACGGAGGGCCGCTGCCCGCGCAACGGCCCGGCCTGCACCTCCATGGTGGCGGCACGCAGGGCCTGCTCCTGGGGGCCGCCGGCGGGCTCGGTGGCCGCCTCGCCGGGGGAGGGTCCCGCGCCCCTGCCGCCGTCGCTGCCGCCGGGCCCGGCCGGCCGCGGCTCCTGCTGGACGCCGGCGGCGTCGCCCGGGGCGCGCTCGGGCCCGCCGGCCGCCTCCACCTCCTCGATGATGGTGGTCAGCCTGCGGGTCAGCGCGGCCAAGCCCAGCGCCCCCGAGCCGAACCCGGCCAGCAGCTGCTCCCGCGTGGCGCCGCTCACGTAGCTGGACGCCAGCACGTCCCACACGGGCACCGCCGGCCCCCGCAGGCGGCCCAGCTTGACCTCCATGGTGGCGGCACGCAGGGCCCCTCGGGGGTCCGGGGGGCGCGCGCCCGGGCTCGCGGGGTCGCGACGGGCCAGCAGCGCGGTGAGGGCGGCGCCCACCTCGTGCGCGGTCAGCGAGCCCGCCCGGTACCTGCGCAGCAGGTCCTGCCGCTCGCCCTCGGGCACCTCCCGGTAGAAGAGGAGCTCCCAGACCGAGACGCTCTGGCCCTGGGCGACGCCCGGGCCCGGCGCCACGCGGGCGTCACGCAGGGCGCCGCGCAGCTCCTCGCTCAGCTGGTGCACGGCGGAGCCCCCCGCGGCCAGCTGCAGCATGTAGAGCCCCGTGTCGGGGTCGAGCACGCAGCGGCGCAGCAGCTGCACGTACGTGAGGTTCTCGTGCGTGTTGGGGTCGAAGAAGCCCTTGGTGTCGTCGCTCGGGTCGGCCAGCACGCGGTTCATCTCCTCGTCGAAGTAGCCGCGCTGGTAGGCCACGTCCACGGGCAGCCGGTGGCTGTGCACCGGGTCGATGATGCCGCCCGTGGCGACCTGGGCCTCCAGCAGGCGGATGCCGTGGTCGCGCACGATGAGCTCCTTCTGCATGGCCTGGAAGAGCGAGATCTGCTCGCCGGTGTAGGGGTCGGTGTAGCCGGTGACGGCGCGCTCGGCCGACAGCAGCTTGTCCTGGATCTCGCCGCCCACCAGGCCCGCGGCCACCGCCTCCTCCACGGTGAGCCCCTGGTTGCGCACGGGGTCGATGAGGAAGCCCGTGGCCGCCTGCGCCTCGAGCAGCACCAGGGCCGTGCCGGGCCGCAGGACGCCCTTCCACATGGCCTGGTAGACGCTCATCTTCTCCTGCCGCCCGGGCTCGTCCTTGGCGGGCACCAGCACGCCCGCGATGCAGCTCGTGCCGCGCAGGTAGCGCTTGACCGAGTCCATCTCGGTCACCTCCTGCGGGGTCTTGGTGCCCTGGGCCAGGTCGCGCAGGGTCTCGGGGCCCAGGATCCCGGACGAGCGCAGCTCGGAGGCCGACACCTGGCGCCGCAGGCCGCGGAAGGTCACCTTGCTCAGCCGCTCCTCCGCCTCCTCCACCGCCCGGGTGAGGATGGCCACCAGGCCCGGCAGCGCCAGGGCGCCGGCCGCGTGCTGGGCCAGGAGCTCGTCCCGCCGGGCCCGGCTCAGGTAGGAGGAGAAGAGGACGTCCCACACGGAGGGCCGCTGCCCGCGCAACGGCCCGGCCTGCACCTCCATGGTGGCGGCACGCAGGGCCTGCTCCTGGGGGCCGCCGGCGGGCTCGGTGGCCGCCTCGCCGGGGGAGGGTCCCGCGCCCCTGCCGCCGTCGCTGCCGCCGGGCCCGGCCGGCCGCGGCTCCTGCTGGACGCCGGCGGCGTCGCCCGGGGCGCGCTCGGGCCCGCCGGCCGCCTCCACCTCCTCGATGATGGTGGTCAGCCTGCGGGTCAGCGCGGCCAAGCCCAGCGCCCCCGAGCCGAACCCGGCCAGCAGCTGCTCCCGCGTGGCGCCGCTCACGTAGCTGGACGCCAGCACGTCCCACACGGGCACCGCCGGCCCCCGCAGGCGGCCCAGCTTGACCTCCATGGTGGCGGCACGCAGGGCCCCTCGGGGGTCCGGGGGGCGCGCGCCCGGGCTCGCGGGGTCGCGACGGGCCAGCAGCGCGGTGAGGGCGGCGCCCACCTCGTGCGCGGTCAGCGAGCCCGCCCGGTACCTGCGCAGCAGGTCCTGCCGCTCGCCCTCGGGCACCTCCCGGTAGAAGAGGAGCTCCCAGACCGAGACGCTCTGGCCCTGGGCGACGCCCGGGCCCGGCGCCACGCGGGCGTCACGCAGGGCGCCGCGCAGCTCCTCGCTCAGCTGGTGCACGGCGGAGCCCCCCGCGGCCAGCTGCAGCATGTAGAGCCCCGTGTCGGGGTCGAGCACGCAGCGGCGCAGCAGCTGCACGTACGTGAGGTTCTCGTGCGTGTTGGGGTCGAAGAAGCCCTTGGTGTCGTCGCTCGGGTCGGCCAGCACGCGGTTCATCTCCTCGTCGAAGTAGCCGCGCTGGTAGGCCACGTCCACGGGCAGCCGGTGGCTGTGCACCGGGTCGATGATGCCGCCCGTGGCGACCTGGGCCTCCAGCAGGCGGATGCCGTGGTCGCGCACGATGAGCTCCTTCTGCATGGCCTGGAAGAGCGAGATCTGCTCGCCGGTGTAGGGGTCGGTGTAGCCGGTGACGGCGCGCTCGGCCGACAGCAGCTTGTCCTGGATCTCGCCGCCCACCAGGCCCGCGGCCACCGCCTCCTCCACGGTGAGCCCCTGGTTGCGCACGGGGTCGATGAGGAAGCCCGTGGCCGCCTGCGCCTCGAGCAGCACCAGGGCCGTGCCGGGCCGCAGGACGCCCTTCCACATGGCCTGGTAGACGCTCATCTTCTCCTGCCGCCCGGGCTCGTCCTTGGCGGGCACCAGCACGCCCGCGATGCAGCTCGTGCCGCGCAGGTAGCGCTTGACCGAGTCCATCTCGGTCACCTCCTGCGGGGTCTTGGTGCCCTGGGCCAGGTCGCGCAGGGTCTCGGGGCCCAGGATCCCGGACGAGCGCAGCTCGGAGGCCGACACCTGGCGCCGCAGGCCGCGGAAGGTCACCTTGCTCAGCCGCTCCTCCGCCTCCTCCACCGCCCGGGTGAGGATGGCCACCAGGCCCGGCAGCGCCAGGGCGCCGGCCGCGTGCTGGGCCAGGAGCTCGTCCCGCCGGGCCCGGCTCAGGTAGGAGGAGAAGAGGACGTCCCACACGGAGGGCCGCTGCCCGCGCAACGGCCCGGCCTGCACCTCCATGGTGGCGGCACGCAGGGCCTGCTCCTGGGGGCCGCCGGCGGGCTCGGTGGCCGCCTCGCCGGGGGAGGGTCCCGCGCCCCTGCCGCCGTCGCTGCCGCCGGGCCCGGCCGGCCGCGGCTCCTGCTGGACGCCGGCGGCGTCGCCCGGGGCGCGCTCGGGCCCGCCGGCCGCCTCCACCTCCTCGATGATGGTGGTCAGCCTGCGGGTCAGCGCGGCCAAGCCCAGCGCCCCCGAGCCGAACCCGGCCAGCAGCTGCTCCCGCGTGGCGCCGCTCACGTAGCTGGACGCCAGCACGTCCCACACGGGCACCGCCGGCCCCCGCAGGCGGCCCAGCTTGACCTCCATGGTGGCGGCACGCAGGGCCCCTCGGGGGTCCGGGGGGCGCGCGCCCGGGCTCGCGGGGTCGCGACGGGCCAGCAGCGCGGTGAGGGCGGCGCCCACCTCGTGCGCGGTCAGCGAGCCCGCCCGGTACCTGCGCAGCAGGTCCTGCCGCTCGCCCTCGGGCACCTCCCGGTAGAAGAGGAGCTCCCAGACCGAGACGCTCTGGCCCTGGGCGACGCCCGGGCCCGGCGCCACGCGGGCGTCACGCAGGGCGCCGCGCAGCTCCTCGCTCAGCTGGTGCACGGCGGAGCCCCCCGCGGCCAGCTGCAGCATGTAGAGCCCCGTGTCGGGGTCGAGCACGCAGCGGCGCAGCAGCTGCACGTACGTGAGGTTCTCGTGCGTGTTGGGGTCGAAGAAGCCCTTGGTGTCGTCGCTCGGGTCGGCCAGCACGCGGTTCATCTCCTCGTCGAAGTAGCCGCGCTGGTAGGCCACGTCCACGGGCAGCCGGTGGCTGTGCACCGGGTCGATGATGCCGCCCGTGGCGACCTGGGCCTCCAGCAGGCGGATGCCGTGGTCGCGCACGATGAGCTCCTTCTGCATGGCCTGGAAGAGCGAGATCTGCTCGCCGGTGTAGGGGTCGGTGTAGCCGGTGACGGCGCGCTCGGCCGACAGCAGCTTGTCCTGGATCTCGCCGCCCACCAGGCCCGCGGCCACCGCCTCCTCCACGGTGAGCCCCTGGTTGCGCACGGGGTCGATGAGGAAGCCCGTGGCCGCCTGCGCCTCGAGCAGCACCAGGGCCGTGCCGGGCCGCAGGACGCCCTTCCACATGGCCTGGTAGACGCTCATCTTCTCCTGCCGCCCGGGCTCGTCCTTGGCGGGCACCAGCACGCCCGCGATGCAGCTCGTGCCGCGCAGGTAGCGCTTGACCGAGTCCATCTCGGTCACCTCCTGCGGGGTCTTGGTGCCCTGGGCCAGGTCGCGCAGGGTCTCGGGGCCCAGGATCCCGGACGAGCGCAGCTCGGAGGCCGACACCTGGCGCCGCAGGCCGCGGAAGGTCACCTTGCTCAGCCGCTCCTCCGCCTCCTCCACCGCCCGGGTGAGGATGGCCACCAGGCCCGGCAGCGCCAGGGCGCCGGCCGCGTGCTGGGCCAGGAGCTCGTCCCGCCGGGCCCGGCTCAGGTAGGAGGAGAAGAGGACGTCCCACACGGAGGGCCGCTGCCCGCGCAACGGCCCGGCCTGCACCTCCATGGTGGCGGCACGCAGGGCCTGCTCCTGGGGGCCGCCGGCGGGCTCGGTGGCCGCCTCGCCGGGGGAGGGTCCCGCGCCCCTGCCGCCGTCGCTGCCGCCGGGCCCGGCCGGCCGCGGCTCCTGCTGGACGCCGGCGGCGTCGCCCGGGGCGCGCTCGGGCCCGCCGGCCGCCTCCACCTCCTCGATGATGGTGGTCAGCCTGCGGGTCAGCGCGGCCAAGCCCAGCGCCCCCGAGCCGAACCCGGCCAGCAGCTGCTCCCGCGTGGCGCCGCTCACGTAGCTGGACGCCAGCACGTCCCACACGGGCACCGCCGGCCCCCGCAGGCGGCCCAGCTTGACCTCCATGGTGGCGGCACGCAGGGCCCCTCGGGGGTCCGGGGGGCGCGCGCCCGGGCTCGCGGGGTCGCGACGGGCCAGCAGCGCGGTGAGGGCGGCGCCCACCTCGTGCGCGGTCAGCGAGCCCGCCCGGTACCTGCGCAGCAGGTCCTGCCGCTCGCCCTCGGGCACCTCCCGGTAGAAGAGGAGCTCCCAGACCGAGACGCTCTGGCCCTGGGCGACGCCCGGGCCCGGCGCCACGCGGGCGTCACGCAGGGCGCCGCGCAGCTCCTCGCTCAGCTGGTGCACGGCGGAGCCCCCCGCGGCCAGCTGCAGCATGTAGAGCCCCGTGTCGGGGTCGAGCACGCAGCGGCGCAGCAGCTGCACGTACGTGAGGTTCTCGTGCGTGTTGGGGTCGAAGAAGCCCTTGGTGTCGTCGCTCGGGTCGGCCAGCACGCGGTTCATCTCCTCGTCGAAGTAGCCGCGCTGGTAGGCCACGTCCACGGGCAGCCGGTGGCTGTGCACCGGGTCGATGATGCCGCCCGTGGCGACCTGGGCCTCCAGCAGGCGGATGCCGTGGTCGCGCACGATGAGCTCCTTCTGCATGGCCTGGAAGAGCGAGATCTGCTCGCCGGTGTAGGGGTCGGTGTAGCCGGTGACGGCGCGCTCGGCCGACAGCAGCTTGTCCTGGATCTCGCCGCCCACCAGGCCCGCGGCCACCGCCTCCTCCACGGTGAGCCCCTGGTTGCGCACGGGGTCGATGAGGAAGCCCGTGGCCGCCTGCGCCTCGAGCAGCACCAGGGCCGTGCCGGGCCGCAGGACGCCCTTCCACATGGCCTGGTAGACGCTCATCTTCTCCTGCCGCCCGGGCTCGTCCTTGGCGGGCACCAGCACGCCCGCGATGCAGCTCGTGCCGCGCAGGTAGCGCTTGACCGAGTCCATCTCGGTCACCTCCTGCGGGGTCTTGGTGCCCTGGGCCAGGTCGCGCAGGGTCTCGGGGCCCAGGATCCCGGACGAGCGCAGCTCGGAGGCCGACACCTGGCGCCGCAGGCCGCGGAAGGTCACCTTGCTCAGCCGCTCCTCCGCCTCCTCCACCGCCCGGGTGAGGATGGCCACCAGGCCCGGCAGCGCCAGGGCGCCGGCCGCGTGCTGGGCCAGGAGCTCGTCCCGCCGGGCCCGGCTCAGGTAGGAGGAGAAGAGGACGTCCCACACGGAGGGCCGCTGCCCGCGCAACGGCCCGGCCTGCACCTCCATGGTGGCGGCACGCAGGGCCTGCTCCTGGGGGCCGCCGGCGGGCTCGGTGGCCGCCTCGCCGGGGGAGGGTCCCGCGCCCCTGCCGCCGTCGCTGCCGCCGGGCCCGGCCGGCCGCGGCTCCTGCTGGACGCCGGCGGCGTCGCCCGGGGCGCGCTCGGGCCCGCCGGCCGCCTCCACCTCCTCGATGATGGTGGTCAGCCTGCGGGTCAGCGCGGCCAAGCCCAGCGCCCCCGAGCCGAACCCGGCCAGCAGCTGCTCCCGCGTGGCGCCGCTCACGTAGCTGGACGCCAGCACGTCCCACACGGGCACCGCCGGCCCCCGCAGGCGGCCCAGCTTGACCTCCATGGTGGCGGCACGCAGGGCCCCTCGGGGGTCCGGGGGGCGCGCGCCCGGGCTCGCGGGGTCGCGACGGGCCAGCAGCGCGGTGAGGGCGGCGCCCACCTCGTGCGCGGTCAGCGAGCCCGCCCGGTACCTGCGCAGCAGGTCCTGCCGCTCGCCCTCGGGCACCTCCCGGTAGAAGAGGAGCTCCCAGACCGAGACGCTCTGGCCCTGGGCGACGCCCGGGCCCGGCGCCACGCGGGCGTCACGCAGGGCGCCGCGCAGCTCCTCGCTCAGCTGGTGCACGGCGGAGCCCCCCGCGGCCAGCTGCAGCATGTAGAGCCCCGTGTCGGGGTCGAGCACGCAGCGGCGCAGCAGCTGCACGTACGTGAGGTTCTCGTGCGTGTTGGGGTCGAAGAAGCCCTTGGTGTCGTCGCTCGGGTCGGCCAGCACGCGGTTCATCTCCTCGTCGAAGTAGCCGCGCTGGTAGGCCACGTCCACGGGCAGCCGGTGGCTGTGCACCGGGTCGATGATGCCGCCCGTGGCGACCTGGGCCTCCAGCAGGCGGATGCCGTGGTCGCGCACGATGAGCTCCTTCTGCATGGCCTGGAAGAGCGAGATCTGCTCGCCGGTGTAGGGGTCGGTGTAGCCGGTGACGGCGCGCTCGGCCGACAGCAGCTTGTCCTGGATCTCGCCGCCCACCAGGCCCGCGGCCACCGCCTCCTCCACGGTGAGCCCCTGGTTGCGCACGGGGTCGATGAGGAAGCCCGTGGCCGCCTGCGCCTCGAGCAGCACCAGGGCCGTGCCGGGCCGCAGGACGCCCTTCCACATGGCCTGGTAGACGCTCATCTTCTCCTGCCGCCCGGGCTCGTCCTTGGCGGGCACCAGCACGCCCGCGATGCAGCTCGTGCCGCGCAGGTAGCGCTTGACCGAGTCCATCTCGGTCACCTCCTGCGGGGTCTTGGTGCCCTGGGCCAGGTCGCGCAGGGTCTCGGGGCCCAGGATCCCGGACGAGCGCAGCTCGGAGGCCGACACCTGGCGCCGCAGGCCGCGGAAGGTCACCTTGCTCAGCCGCTCCTCCGCCTCCTCCACCGCCCGGGTGAGGATGGCCACCAGGCCCGGCAGCGCCAGGGCGCCGGCCGCGTGCTGGGCCAGGAGCTCGTCCCGCCGGGCCCGGCTCAGGTAGGAGGAGAAGAGGACGTCCCACACGGAGGGCCGCTGCCCGCGCAACGGCCCGGCCTGCACCTCCATGGTGGCGGCACGCAGGGCCTGCTCCTGGGGGCCGCCGGCGGGCTCGGTGGCCGCCTCGCCGGGGGAGGGTCCCGCGCCCCTGCCGCCGTCGCTGCCGCCGGGCCCGGCCGGCCGCGGCTCCTGCTGGACGCCGGCGGCGTCGCCCGGGGCGCGCTCGGGCCCGCCGGCCGCCTCCACCTCCTCGATGATGGTGGTCAGCCTGCGGGTCAGCGCGGCCAAGCCCAGCGCCCCCGAGCCGAACCCGGCCAGCAGCTGCTCCCGCGTGGCGCCGCTCACGTAGCTGGACGCCAGCACGTCCCACACGGGCACCGCCGGCCCCCGCAGGCGGCCCAGCTTGACCTCCATGGTGGCGGCACGCAGGGCCCCTCGGGGGTCCGGGGGGCGCGCGCCCGGGCTCGCGGGGTCGCGACGGGCCAGCAGCGCGGTGAGGGCGGCGCCCACCTCGTGCGCGGTCAGCGAGCCCGCCCGGTACCTGCGCAGCAGGTCCTGCCGCTCGCCCTCGGGCACCTCCCGGTAGAAGAGGAGCTCCCAGACCGAGACGCTCTGGCCCTGGGCGACGCCCGGGCCCGGCGCCACGCGGGCGTCACGCAGGGCGCCGCGCAGCTCCTCGCTCAGCTGGTGCACGGCGGAGCCCCCCGCGGCCAGCTGCAGCATGTAGAGCCCCGTGTCGGGGTCGAGCACGCAGCGGCGCAGCAGCTGCACGTACGTGAGGTTCTCGTGCGTGTTGGGGTCGAAGAAGCCCTTGGTGTCGTCGCTCGGGTCGGCCAGCACGCGGTTCATCTCCTCGTCGAAGTAGCCGCGCTGGTAGGCCACGTCCACGGGCAGCCGGTGGCTGTGCACCGGGTCGATGATGCCGCCCGTGGCGACCTGGGCCTCCAGCAGGCGGATGCCGTGGTCGCGCACGATGAGCTCCTTCTGCATGGCCTGGAAGAGCGAGATCTGCTCGCCGGTGTAGGGGTCGGTGTAGCCGGTGACGGCGCGCTCGGCCGACAGCAGCTTGTCCTGGATCTCGCCGCCCACCAGGCCCGCGGCCACCGCCTCCTCCACGGTGAGCCCCTGGTTGCGCACGGGGTCGATGAGGAAGCCCGTGGCCGCCTGCGCCTCGAGCAGCACCAGGGCCGTGCCGGGCCGCAGGACGCCCTTCCACATGGCCTGGTAGACGCTCATCTTCTCCTGCCGCCCGGGCTCGTCCTTGGCGGGCACCAGCACGCCCGCGATGCAGCTCGTGCCGCGCAGGTAGCGCTTGACCGAGTCCATCTCGGTCACCTCCTGCGGGGTCTTGGTGCCCTGGGCCAGGTCGCGCAGGGTCTCGGGGCCCAGGATCCCGGACGAGCGCAGCTCGGAGGCCGACACCTGGCGCCGCAGGCCGCGGAAGGTCACCTTGCTCAGCCGCTCCTCCGCCTCCTCCACCGCCCGGGTGAGGATGGCCACCAGGCCCGGCAGCGCCAGGGCGCCGGCCGCGTGCTGGGCCAGGAGCTCGTCCCGCCGGGCCCGGCTCAGGTAGGAGGAGAAGAGGACGTCCCACACGGAGGGCCGCTGCCCGCGCAACGGCCCGGCCTGCACCTCCATGGTGGCGGCACGCAGGGCCTGCTCCTGGGGGCCGCCGGCGGGCTCGGTGGCCGCCTCGCCGGGGGAGGGTCCCGCGCCCCTGCCGCCGTCGCTGCCGCCGGGCCCGGCCGGCCGCGGCTCCTGCTGGACGCCGGCGGCGTCGCCCGGGGCGCGCTCGGGCCCGCCGGCCGCCTCCACCTCCTCGATGATGGTGGTCAGCCTGCGGGTCAGCGCGGCCAAGCCCAGCGCCCCCGAGCCGAACCCGGCCAGCAGCTGCTCCCGCGTGGCGCCGCTCACGTAGCTGGACGCCAGCACGTCCCACACGGGCACCGCCGGCCCCCGCAGGCGGCCCAGCTTGACCTCCATGGTGGCGGCACGCAGGGCCCCTCGGGGGTCCGGGGGGCGCGCGCCCGGGCTCGCGGGGTCGCGACGGGCCAGCAGCGCGGTGAGGGCGGCGCCCACCTCGTGCGCGGTCAGCGAGCCCGCCCGGTACCTGCGCAGCAGGTCCTGCCGCTCGCCCTCGGGCACCTCCCGGTAGAAGAGGAGCTCCCAGACCGAGACGCTCTGGCCCTGGGCGACGCCCGGGCCCGGCGCCACGCGGGCGTCACGCAGGGCGCCGCGCAGCTCCTCGCTCAGCTGGTGCACGGCGGAGCCCCCCGCGGCCAGCTGCAGCATGTAGAGCCCCGTGTCGGGGTCGAGCACGCAGCGGCGCAGCAGCTGCACGTACGTGAGGTTCTCGTGCGTGTTGGGGTCGAAGAAGCCCTTGGTGTCGTCGCTCGGGTCGGCCAGCACGCGGTTCATCTCCTCGTCGAAGTAGCCGCGCTGGTAGGCCACGTCCACGGGCAGCCGGTGGCTGTGCACCGGGTCGATGATGCCGCCCGTGGCGACCTGGGCCTCCAGCAGGCGGATGCCGTGGTCGCGCACGATGAGCTCCTTCTGCATGGCCTGGAAGAGCGAGATCTGCTCGCCGGTGTAGGGGTCGGTGTAGCCGGTGACGGCGCGCTCGGCCGACAGCAGCTTGTCCTGGATCTCGCCGCCCACCAGGCCCGCGGCCACCGCCTCCTCCACGGTGAGCCCCTGGTTGCGCACGGGGTCGATGAGGAAGCCCGTGGCCGCCTGCGCCTCGAGCAGCACCAGGGCCGTGCCGGGCCGCAGGACGCCCTTCCACATGGCCTGGTAGACGCTCATCTTCTCCTGCCGCCCGGGCTCGTCCTTGGCGGGCACCAGCACGCCCGCGATGCAGCTCGTGCCGCGCAGGTAGCGCTTGACCGAGTCCATCTCGGTCACCTCCTGCGGGGTCTTGGTGCCCTGGGCCAGGTCGTCCAGCAGCTCTTTGCTGAGAATGGCTGCCTTGAACAGCTCTACAGCTGTGATTTGCTTTCGGATTCCTGGGAACCATATTTGTTTCTTGCTTTTTTCTTGGTCTTCCATTATTTGTAAAATGACCTTTCGTGCTTCTTCCAGGACCTGGTTCACATGGTCTTTGTATTCTCTCAGCAGCTCCAGTTTCCTCTTGTGGGTCACGTATTCAGAGTTCAGCATCTCCCACACTGAGAGCGTCTGGTCCTTGTACCTTCCCACCTGGACCTGCACCTGCTCTGCCTCCAGGGCCCTCCTCGTGGCCTCATCGTCATAGTTGGAGCGCTGGGTGTCCCCAGTTACCATGAACAGAGCCCAGCCCGTCTCTGCTTCCTTCTGGCTCCTTTCCTGTAGCTGTTGGTATGTCACCCTCTCCTGATTGTTTGGATCCACAAACCTTTTTCTCATGTGCCTCTGATCTGAAACGAGTGGGTATGTGTCCTGGTGCAGGCAGCCGCGTCTGTAGGCCACGCCCAGGGGGAGCCGGTGGTGGTGCAGTGGGTCGATGACACCCCCCGTGGCCACCTGCATTTCAAGCAGTCTCAGTGCGTCTTCTCTTCTGACCATCTTCCTCTGCATGGCCTGGAACAGTGAGAGGGTGTGGCCTGTGGCTGGGTCCGTGTAGCCTCGGGCGGCCTTCTCTGCCTCTAGGAGCCGTGCCTGCCACTCCTCTCCCACCAGGCCCTCAGCGACGGCCTCTTGCACAGAGAGCTTCCTCTGGCCACAGGGATCCAGCACAAAGCCAGTGGCTGCCTGGGCCTCCAGCATCTGAACTGCAAACCCCATGGGGATGAGTCCCTTCCTGTTGGCGTCATACAAGCTCATCACCTCCTGGGTCAAGGGTACGGTGATCCCCGCGATGCAGCCACGGCCTTCCAGATAGGTCTTGACGTGCGCCATGCGGCTGAGATCCTGCGCCCCAGACTTCTCCCTGGACAGGGCATCCAGGGTCCTTTTATCAGTGATTCCAGAATTGAACAACTCTGCAGCTGTCACCTCTCCGCCAATGGCTGCAACCTTCATGCCTCGGTACTGCTCCTCTGTCTCTTCCACGGTAGCAGTGATGATCTCCAACAGCTGCTCCAGGGGAACGTTCTGGGCTCTGACCTCCTGGATGAGCTCTCGTTTCCTCTCCTCGGTGAAGTACTCAGAGGACAGCAGGTCCCAGAAGGAGATCTTCTGATGGGCAAACCTCCCCACGTGCATTTCCGTGGTTTGGGACTGCAGAACTTGCCTTGTGGCTTCATCAGTATAAATGTAGGCTTCTCCCTTCTTTACAATTTGTAACATGTAGAGCCCCGTGTCGGGGTCAAGCACGCAGCGCTCCAGCAGCTGCAGGTACGTGAGGTTCTCGTGCGTGTTGGGGTCGAAGAAGCCCTTGGTGTCGTCGCTCGGGTCGGCCAGCACGCGGTTCATCTCCTCGTCGAAGTAGCCGCGCTGGTAGGCCACGTCCACGGGCAGCCGGTGGCTGTGCACCGGGTCGATGATGCCGCCCGTGGCGACCTGGGCCTCCAGCAGGCGGATGCCGTGGTCGCGCACGATGAGCTCCTTCTGCATGGCCTGGAAGAGCGAGATCTGCTCGCCGGTGTAGGGGTCGGTGTAGCCGGTGACGGCGCGCTCGGCCGACAGCAGCTTCCAGTACGTTTCCTGGCCAAACATCCCTGTGGCGAACGCCTCCTCCACGGTGAGCCTCTGGTTGCGCACGGGGTCGATGAGGAAGCCCGTGGCCGCCTGCGCCTCGAGCAGCACCAGGGCCGTGCCGGGCCGCAGGATGTGCCTCCTCAGGGCCTCAGAGATGCTCATCTTCTCCTTTGTGCCCTGGACGAGGACCCCAGCGATGAAGTTGCCTCCCTCCAGGTACCGCCTCACGCTTCCCATCTCCATCACCTCCTGCACCGTCTTTTTCCCCTGATTCAGCTCGTCCAGTGTCTCCTTGTCAATCAGCCGGGACCTGAACAAGTCACTGGCCGACACCAGCTTCCGGAGTCCTCTGAAGGTGGCCTGTGTCTCTGAAGCCACAACCAGGGCGGTAACTGCTGTTGCCACCTGCTGCAGGGCTGTAGCCCTCCCGGACTGACAGAGGGCCACCAGCTCTCGCCGCCTGTTGGAGCCGACATACTCGGAGTGCAGCAGGTCCCACAGCGACACGCTGAGACCCTTGAACCTCCCGGTGCTGACGGGCACCTTCATGGCCCTCAGAGCCAGCAGTGTATGTTCATCCACCTCTAGCACCGTGTCCTGGGCGAGCGGCAGCAGCCATAGGCCGGTGTCAGCATCCAGGACACAGCGCTCCTTGAGCTGGCTGTATGTCACCTTGTCCTTTGTGCCGGGGTCAAAGAAGAACTTGCTGTCCTCGTCTGTTGAGGTCAGCACCTGGCTCACCTGCTCGTCCAGCAGACCAAGCCTGTAGGCCACTGCCTCAGGCAGGTGCACCCCGTGGCCAGGGTCCACCGCGCCCCCCGTGGCCAACTGCACCTGTAGGAGGCGGAGGCCCTCCCCTCGGGGCACCAGCCCCTTCTCCATGGCCTGCCACAGGGCGAGGCAGCCTCCGGAGTAGGGGTCGGTGTACCCGGCCACGGCCTTCTCAGCTTGCCGGAGCTGCTCACTCAGTGCCCCGGCCACCAGGCCGGCCTGGACGGCACCTTCCACCGACAGTCTCTGGTTGGTCAGTGGGTCGATGAGCGAGCCAGATGCCACTTGGGCCTCCAGCAGCCTTTGCCCCAGGCCCTCAGGCAAGAGTCCGTCCCTCACGGCCTGGCTGATGCTGACCTTGATCCCTGACGGCCGCAACAGCACGCCAGCTACACAGCCCGTACCCCACAGGTGCCGCTTCACGGCGGGTTGCTCAGCGACCTCGGCAGGTGACTGCGTGCCCTGAGCAAGGGCCGTCAGGGTCTCCTGGGTGATGATGCCCGCATCCAGGAGCCAGACGGCAGGAACCTCACCCCTTGGGCCGGGCACCGTGACACGAGCCCGTGCCAGGAGCTCTGCCTCCTGCACCCACTTCTGCACCACTCCGTGAAGCTGCTGCACGGTGGTCTTCCCCACCCGCAAGTCCTCCAAGAAGCTCTTGCGCTGCTCATCGGTGAAGTGGCAAGAGCCCAGTAGCTCCCAGAGGGACATGCCGTCCTCAGCCCCCTGCAGGGTCTCCTGGACCTGCTCGTCAGTGGGGACAGCAGGAGCATTTTCTGGCAGAGGCAGGAAGGAAAGGCCAGAAGCCTCATCCCTCAGACACTGCTCCAGAAGCCGGGCATAGCTGGTGTGTCCCCGGCCATCTGGCGTGGGGAAGGTCTTGGAGGAGCTGGACAAGGCCATCTCCATCTCCTGGTTGATGTAGCCATGCTGGGTGGCCACAGGCAGGGGGAGGTGGTAGTGGCCTGTGGGGTCAATGATCCCTCCCGTGGCCACCTGGGCATCCAGGAGGCGGGCAGCCTGCTCTAGGGGGACCAGGCCCTTCTTCATGGCCTGGAACAGGGATATTGACTTCCCTGAGAAGGGGTCGTGGACCCCAGTGATGGCGTCCTCAGCCTGCTTCAGCCTGATGTACAGCTCTGGCCCCACCAGTCTCCTACGCACAGCCTCATCCACCGACAGGGTCTCCAGACCCTGGGGGTCACTGATGCCTCCGGTGGCTGCTTGAGCCTCCAGCAGGGCTAGGGCCACACCTGGCCCCAGCAGCTTCTGCTTCATGGCCTCGTAGAGGCTCAGCCGCTGGCCGGAGGGCCGCAGCAGCACACCACCCACAGCACCGGAGCCACGCAGGTACCTCTGGACGTGGTCCATGTGGAGGACAGCCTCGGGGCTCACCGCCCCCTCCAGCACCCGGTCCAGGAGCTCCTGGTCAATGATACGGGCCTCCAGGAGCCGGTGGGCAGGGACGCGGCCCCGCAGCGTGGGCAGCATGACATCCAGCCCCCTCCCCATCTCTCTCTCCAGCAGCTGCGCCACCTGCTCCAGGGAGACCCTGTGCCGCCGGTAGTCCTGCAGGACCCGCCTCCTCTGGTCCTCACTGAAGCACTCGGAGTTGATCAGCTCCCACGCAGAAACCGTCTGCCCCCGGAACCGCCCGTACTTCACCGACAGCAGCAGGCTCTGGAAGGCCTGCCGGGTGGCGCCATCCACAAGCTGGGTCTGCACGCTCCCAAGGGGCAGCATGTAGAGCCCCGTGTCGGGGTCGAGCACGCAGCGCTCCAGCAGCTGCAGGTACGTGAGGTTCTCGTGCGTGTTGGGGTCGAAGAAGCCCTTGGTGTCGTCGCTCGGGTCGGCCAGCACGTGGTTCATCTCCTCGTCGAAGTAGCCGCACTGGTAGGCCACGTCCACGGGCAGCCGGTGGCTGTGCACCGGGTCGATGATGCCGCCCGTGGCGATCTGGGCCTCCAGCAGGCGGATGCCGTGGTCGCGCACGATGAGCTCCTTCTGCATGGCCTGGAAGAGTGAGATCTGCTCGCCGGTGTAGGGGTCCTTGTAGCCGGTGACGGCGCGCTCGGCCGACAGCAGCTTTGCAAACACGTCCGGCCCAATGAGGCCAGCCCTCAGGGCCGCCTCCACGGAAGAGCTCTTGTTTTCCTTTGGGTTAAGGATGAAGCCCGTGGCCGCCTGCGCCTCCAGGAGGATGAGGGCCGTGCCCGGCCTGAGAAGCCCCTTCTCACGAGCCTCGTAGATACTGAGCCGCTCCTGGGAGCCAGGCACCAGCACGCCGGCGATGCAGCCAGTGCCCCTCAGGTACCTCTGGACCGAGGCCAGCCTGCCCACCTCTTGGGCTGTGGTTTGCCCTTGCTTCAGCTGCTCGTACACATCCTGCTCAATGATCTCGGCTTTCAACAGCTCATCTGGTGTCACGGGCACTCTCAGCCCAGCAAAGGTGGTCCTGGCCACGGCAGCAGCCTGCTCCAGGGCAGCCGTCAGCACTGCTGCCATTTCCTCCACCGAGATGGCGCCGTCCCTGTACTGCTGGGCCAATGCTGCCCTCTGCTCCGTGGGGACGGGCCCAGAGAAGAGCAGCTCCCAGAGTGACACGGGCCGGCCCTGGAACTTGCCCACGGAGACAGTGGCCGTGGCCTCACTTAAGGCCTGCCGGGTGCTGTGGTCAATGAACGGGGATCCTTGTGGCTCGTCTCCAGGGGGCCCGTGGGAGAGAGGAAGGAAGGCCAGCCCCGTCTCTGGGTCGGTGATGCAGCGGGCCAGCAGCTGCCCGTAGCCAAGGCTCTCCTGTATGCTGGGATCCGAGAAGCCAGCAGCCTGGGACAGACACTGCTGAGTCTCTTCGTCCAGGCATCCGAGGCGCAGGGCGGCCTCCAGGGGCAGCCGGAGCCTGCGGGCTGGACACACGAGCCCGCCTGTGGCCAGCTGCACATCCAGGAGCCGCAACGCCAGGGGCCTGTCCACCAGCTCCTTCTTCATGGCCTGAAAGAGGGGGACTTGTGTGCCGCTGAAGGGGTCATGGTACCCCGTCACCGCCTGCTCTGCCACCAGGAGCTTCCTGTGGAGCTCTGGGCCGAGCAGGCCTGACCTGACCGCCTCATCCACACTTAGCTGCTGGCCGGTGGCTGGGTCCACCAGCGTGCAGGTGGCGGCCTGAGCCTCTAGGAGCAGAAGCCCCGTGCCCATCGGGAGCAGGTGCTCGGTGATGGCCTGGAAGATGCTCTTCTTGTGGCCGGCGGGCAGCTGGACGACCCCTGCCACGCCGCCGGTGCCCTGCAGGTAGCGCTTCACGTCGGCCCGTGAGCTCACGTCTGGCACGGCCAGCTTGCCCTCCTGAAGGCCCTGGCCAGTCTCTTCATCGAGGATCCCCACCTCCAGCAGCTCTGCCAAGCTCACTGCCCCACTCAGGGTGTGAAAAGTGATCTTGAGGGGCAGCAGGGCCAGCCCTGTAGCGGGGGCTCTCACACACCTGCCCAGCAGCTCACGGTAGGACAGCCACTCCAGTGTGTTAGGGTCCTGGAAGCCAGGGGCGCCGGAGCCGGGCTTGCACTCCAGCAGCACGTGCCACGTCTCCTGGTCCAGGAGGCCCTGCTGGCATGCCAGCTCTGGGGCCACTCGCACTCCCCGGATGGGATCGGCCAGGCCCCCAGTGGCCAGCTGGGCCTCCAGCCAGCTCCAGCCCCGTGCTCTATCTACCACCTCCTTCCTGATGGCCTGGAAGAGGGACAGCCTCCCGCCGCCGTAGGGGTCGGGGTACCCAGTGACCGCACGCTCAGCAGCCAGCAGCTTTCCCTTCAGCTCCAGGCCAACCAGGCCCTGCTGCACTGCCTCGGACACAGAGAGTATCTGGCCCTGTGTGGGGTCCACAAGGCCCCCAGTGGCCGCCTGGGCCTCCAGCAGAGCCAACCCGAGCTCCTCGGACAGGAGGCCCTGCTTCATGGTGGCATAGAGACTCTGGGCCTGGCTGGAGGCCTCCACGTACACCCCGGCAATGCTCCTGGACTGGGCCGACAGGGCTGCCTGGGGCCGGGGCCCGGAGGGGGTGCTGGTTCCCTCCATGGCCTTCATGGTCTTGGGGCCGGTCAGCGCAGTGCTGGTGGCAGCCAGGGCGTCAGGAGGAGGAGAGGCATGGCCGTTCATCATGTCCGGCAGGTCGTGCAGAATTCACTCACCCAAGGTCCACTGTGTCTGCTCCCTGTAGGGGCAGAAAGGCTGTTAGGGACCGTGGGATGGCCGGGGCAGGCAGGAGGGAAACAGGCAGAGGGTCAGTCCCAAACCCTGACTCAGCCTCCTGGGGGATGGGGATCGCCATCCAAGTGAGTCCTCTGCCTGGCCCCTGGGGTCCCAGGAGGAACCGCAAGGGACCCCAGGCCAACCAGGAGCCTCCAGGAGGTGTGGGCTCTGTTCTCTCCTGGAGGCCATCCTCCAGCCTCCCTCCCAGGGTCCTGCGGTGGGCCTGGGCCTGGAGGGGCCTGCATGGTCCCGGCGGGCTCAGCCCTGTGCCACCTGGACTGTGGCCCTACCCACCCTCAGGCTCCACCTCTAATTCACAGCCTCCAGCCTCACAGGCCTCCCCTGTGCTCCCCAAAGCTCTTCCCCCACCCTGCCACCCCTTAGGTTCAGGGACATTGGTACCCTTCCCCCTCCCAGTCACCTCCTCCACTCCCCCCACCCTGCCCTGGCCCTCTGTGCTGTCGCCTCTTCCTTCCCAAACCTCCCTTGGGCTCCAGCAGAACGGCTCAGGGTCTCCTGCTTCGGCCTGGCACCCCAACCCCGGTGCTCTGTGGGCAATGGCCTCTCTGTGCTCACACCTGGCCCCGGGGGCCAGAGAGAGCAAAGACTCGGTGCTTATGCGCTGGTCTTGCCGGAGCCGCAGGAATGGCCAGGCGCTGGGCCCTGTCAGCTGGCTCAAAGCCCCAGCAGCCTCACGGCTGTCCCCTCTCAGCAGACCGCTGGGTGCCCCATCCTCTGAGCAGCGGTGATGAGTGCCTTACCTCCATCCTCTATCACACCTGCACAGCAACCTGCTTCACCCACGCCCATCTCCTTCCTGTGGGGTTCAATCATATCTCCCCAAAAGATACGTCCCAGTCCTACCCTCCAGGACCTACCACTCTAGCCTTCTTTGGAAAGAGGATCTTTGCAAGTGTGAGTTGAAGTCACAGGTAGGGAGGGCCCCAATCCCTGACAGGACTGGGGTCTCTACAGGAAGGCAGAGACGAAGGGGGCCACCCGTGAAGGGCGTCTGGAGCTAGAAGCCCAGAGGCATCGACGACTGCCCGCCACCCAGCGCGGAAGCACTCGCTCCAGACTCAGGCCTCTCCAACGTGAGAGGAGTTTCTGTGGTTCTCAGCTGCCCAGGTTATGGTGATCGTTTCGACAACCCAGGGAGCCGTGGCCTCCCTCCCGGCCCGCGCCCCGCCCCACCCACACCCAGTTTCTGCAGAACCACACCCCGCAGCCCCAGTGGGTGCTGGCCGGCTGCTCAGGGCCCCGTTGGGCAAACCAGCTCGGCCCGTGCCCCACGCAGGCCGTGGGGCAAGGCTCTGCTCGCCACTGCCTTGCCCTTCCTGGGGCTGCACTGGCTCACTCCCTGGCCTCGGGCCCTCCTGCGAGCCTCTGGGGGTGCTAAAATCCCCACACGGATGTGGGGCCTGAGCCTCCCAGACCCCGGGAACTAGTATGCTGCTTAGAAGCTCAGGTGGCCGGCACCAGGGCCAGGCAGACACGGAGCGGGGCTCTGGAGGGGCACACGGCCACCTGGCTGGCCATGGGAGCTAGGCCCTGGGGTGCCCAGGCCCGCGGCTTCCGTAGTGGGATAGTACGAGGCACAGGGTGCAGTGGGTGGGGGTGCTGCTCAGTGACCAGGCTTTGGGAGAAGATCACAAATGGCTGCGAGCGGCCAGCTGGGCATCTGAAGCCCACGTGGACACCTGGGCCTTCTCAGTGACCAGTGAAGAGGCTCTGGTCTCTAGTGCAGGGCAGGCAGGGAGCTGTCGAGAGAGGGGCGCTGCAGACAAGCCGAAGCACCAGCTCCCAGGTGGCCCCATCCCCAGGATCCGCCTAAAACATGATGCACCTGTCCCTGTAGATGGACCACAGGGCTCCAGGAACCAAGCGACAGAGGCTGATGTGCCCCGCCCCTCCCCATTGACCCCAGTCCCTGTCCCTGCAGCTCTGGGGTCAGTCCCAGAGGATGATGGCTCCTTCCAGGGACACAGCTACAGTCCCACTGAGCTGAAGGCCATGGCTGCCACCAGGACCCTCTAACTGCTTGTGTCCAAGACCAAGAGGCCAGAAGAAGAGTGACCTGCCCCCCAGGAGGAGGTGGGGTCTGTGACGGGTTCTAGCAGCTAACAGACAAGTGTTGCCACCCGAGGGGACTTCAGGGGTGAGGGTGTGCTCACACCCCAGACGAGTGCCAAGCCCTGCAGACATGCGTTGGGGGCGGGTGGGGCGGCCACGATTGCCCTGACCTCCTTCCCACAGGAGGTGAGACTGCATTATGGGCCAGCTCCCCTTCCACAGGGCCCTCCTGGCTGCTCCCTAATACCCCCAGCGTCAGACACGGCTCCTGGCCCCCGACCTGGACACACGTTTCACTGCTCACCTGCACCAAACACTCACACGTTTCCTTTACACCGTGTGCCTCGTGCCAGGGCTGCCTTCAGAGGGTCTGAGAGCCCAAGGGCACCACGCACAGCAGCACCTGGCCCCGCCCAAGGCCCGGCTGTCATGCCAGGTAGCAGGGCTGGGGGCAGTGAGAAGAACGTGCGTTTCCCTTGGTGGGCGACAGGGTCACGAGAGAAGAGCCCTACCCCACTACCCAGCATGGGAGGGAAGGTGCTGGGCCCCGGTGGGGGCAGGAGCAGCCACGTGAGCAGGGCTGTCGGGTGGCCCTTGGCCTGGACGTGGGCAGCTGGCCCAGAGCCAGACAGGCTGTGGCGGGGGTGGGGTGGGGGCAGTGCCCAGACAGGAGAAGTAGAGCCAGTATAAGCTTGGGGAACAGGAGGTTCCAGTGTTCTGCACAAATGGGATTCGTGGCGGGAGGGAGGGGGAGAGCAGGAAGTGCGGGCCTAGGCCAGGGCGTCCTGTGCCCCAGGTAGCCGGGCCACACCCCCGTCTGGCTGGCAGTGACCTTGAGCCTGGAACAGTCTCCCCTGGACTCTGCCCAGGTGGGACATGAAGATGATCCCGGGAATGGGGACCTTGGGAGAGACAGAACAGGGCTGGTGACCACTGTCCAGGGCCTGGGGGCTGGGAGAGGGAGGGTTTCACAGGTGGGAGACGCAGGCAAGCCCAGTGTCATAGGAGCCAAAAGATGGGCGTCCTAGAGAGGTTGCCACCAGCAGATGTGGGCATTGTGTGTGACCCAAGGGACTAGTAGCCTTGGGGCTGGACAAGGGAGGCTGAGCAGATTTTCCAGAAAGGAAAGTGGAACCCCGAGGGGAGGAGGGCTTCCCTGGAGTGGCCCCCGGCTCCGAGGCCCCCAGGCAGCAGGGGGAGGGAAGGCAATTCCTGAGGAGGGTGAGTCCGCATTCTTGGGTATGGGCCTCCATCTGTCAGCGCCCTACAGGGCAGCCCCTCTCCAGCCTGGGCGAGCCAGGCAGAGGGCAGGCTGGCCGGGCACCGAGCCAGGGCAGGACAGAGCTAGGAAGCCGGTGGACGCCCGGCCGAGGGGGCCTCAATCCTGCCCGCTGCCCAGATGGTGGGCAACTGCGGGAAGGGCCCACCCACCTCCATGGGGCAGAGACCCGCGCCAGAGGGGGGTGTGGGGCGGGAGAGCCCCGGGCCTGCCTCCCTGGGGCCTGGACAGGTGCAGGCAGGTGCCCCTGTGCTCACCCACCCTGGATAGCGACCGGGTGCCTGGGGGAGCAGCGCCGCCCCTCAATTTGTCAACCTAATTACCTGGCACCACCCACCTCTGTGGGCACCGCCCCACCTACAAGGTGGGGGCCTGGAGAGGAGCCGAGCTGCAGGGCCCGCCCAGAGCCACAGCTGCAGCGGGAGAGCAAAGGGCCCCGGAGGACCGCGCAGCCCTGGTGTCCCACACAACCTGCACCGCCGCCCACCAGGGCCATAGGGGGGTCAGCGCTGAGCCAGGAACAGCTGAGCCCACAGCTCCAGGCCACCCCCACGCGGGCCCCACCTCCCCAGGTCCTCAGCCTCCCCGGACCCCCGCCTCCCCGGGCCCCCAGCTTCCCTAGACCTCAGCCTCCCCGGCCCCCCCCCCCCGCCTCCCCGGACCCCAGTCTCCCCTCGAGTCCCCACCTCCCCAGGTCCTCAGCCTCCCTGGACCCCCAGGCTCCCCAGGTCCCTCCCTCCCGGGCCCCTGCCTCCCCTGACTCCAGCCTCCCTGGGTCCCTGGCGTCCCAGGTCCTCAGCCTCCCCGGTCCCAGCCTTCCCGGCCCCCTCCTCCCCAGGCCCCAGCGCCGCGTGCTCGCAGGGGGTTGGGGTTGGCTCCCGGCCCCACGCCTGGCCTGCGAGTCCCACCTGCCCGCTCGAGTCCCACCTGCCCGCTCGGCGCGCTCCGGGCAGGCGCTCCCTGGCTCCTCGCTGCTGGGCTGCGGCACCACCGCAGCCGGGATTTAAACGCGCCCGGGCCCGCCCCACCCCGCCCTCCTCTGGGCTCTGGGGTGACCCGGAGGGCCCGGCGGGGGTGCGGAGGGCGGGCACCCGGAACCCCGCGGGCCGCCCACGCCACAGGCACACTCCTTGGCAGCCGCACACCTGCGCAGGACCTCCGCGCCACCCCCCCCACCCCGTCCCCATCCGTCCTCCCTAGAGCAGCCCCTCCCTAGAGCACGGACCCAGGTGGGCGCAGGGGGAGCACGGTGAAGGAGCTGGGGCAGCCGATGCAGCGCCCCCACGGGGAACCCCACACCTGCGGGCTGGAGGCCTCTGTGCATGTGCCGAGGCCAGCCAGGATCGTTCCCCGGGCCCGGCCTCTCCAGTGTGTCCTCAGGGGCCCCCGGTCCAGGCCACCCCCAGCAGTCCAGTGCGGCTCCCAGGAGGTCCCTTGCCCATCCGGGAGCAGTGGCCCCTCTGGGGGGCCCATCCTAGCACCCGCCTTCTGGGTCTGCACTGCGGGTAGAGGCCCAGAACCCTGGAGGCCAGCCTGCTCACGGGACTTTTGGCTGGTCCACCTCCACGCTGCCCAGAGATTTTTTTGTTTTTTAAGATTTTATTTATTTTATTCATGAGAGACACAGATAGAGAGGCAGAGACACAGGCAGAGGGAGAAGCAGGCTCCCTCTGGGGAGCGGGATGTGGGACCTGATCCTGGGACCCCAGGACCACACCCTGGACAAAGGCAGGCGCTCAACTGCTGAGCCACCCAGGGATCCCCTGCCCAGAGATTTCAGATGGACGGGCAGCACTGGTGCCCCTCGGCCCCTCAGGGCAGAGCGCAAGGCCTCTTCTCCAGCCAGTGGTCCCCCCTGAGGGCTCGGCCTCCCTGCTCCCCTAGCCCTCACCTTTGCCTGGTTTGTTCTTGACCAGGTGCTCACTGAGGGCCCCCAGCCACCTCTGACAGGTCCCTGTGCAGTGGGATCTGGACTGCTGGGGTGGCCCTTCGTGACCCCCGCCTCAGGCCCACACTCACACCAGCCCATCCAAGGCTCCCCAACCCAGCGCTGCCCTCTGGCCACCCGTGTGCTGGCCCCCATCCATGTGGCCCACACTTGCCATGTTGTGGCTGCTCCCGGCCACTGGAGAGCCCTGACCCCAACAGGTTAGTGAGCTCTGGCATGGACCCATGTCCCAGCAAGGTATGCGGGGCCACCTGCGACCATGCCCAGCCCGGCTCACCAGGCACCAGGACCATGCTCATGATGTCCTGCAGGGAAGCATGGCTATGCTGGCTGTGGCCTGTGGCCCAGAGAGTGCCTCAGAGCCACTCCTTCCCATGGCCAAGCCAACCAGGTAGCATTGCTGCCCAGCCATGAAATCCAGGTATGTGCCCGGCCCTCACTGTGAGAAGGAAGTATGAGGCTGGCCAGGCTTGTCTCGCACGTGCTTGGGCACGGGCAAGTCCTGGTGCCCCTGGTCCTCTCTCTGCATCACCCGTTTCTTGTGGTAGCCCTCAGGTCAGCCCTCCCAGGACACCTGGGGGCAAGCCTGGGTGACTGTCCTCCTCAGACCCCCAAGCTGACCAGTAGCTGCAGCCCAGTGGACCTGTCCAGCGGCTCCCAGGGCCACGGGCCGCTCCCCCAGCCCCAGGCCTAGGTCTGCCTCCGCAGTGGTGGTGGTGGGGTGCTCACGGAATTAGGGGGAGGGGCAGCGGTGTCAGGAGGGAGGTGATCCCTCTAGGCCCAGTCCTGCCCACTGCTCTACCGTGGCCATCGTCTCCTGCAGCTGCTATGCCTGGTGGAGCAGCTACTCTGCTCCGACTGGAGGCTCTGTGGGCCGGAGGGTCCAAGGAGGGGGGTCCCAGGCCCCTCAAGAGCAGTGTTACCGTACTAACCCTGGCCTGGTCCAGGAGGTGGCCACATGGCCCACAGGCCGTGCTTTGGCCCTGCACGCTTGGCCTGACTCCGCCTGTGCGTCCAGCAGCTCGTCCACAGAGGGGCCCTGGAGGGTATCACTGACTCTTCCAGGGGGCACCGCCCAGAGCGGTGCTGAGGCAGCAGGGGTGGGGAGCAGAGTAGCAGGCTGACCTCTGTCTTGAAGCCCTCGGTGCTGGAGCCAGGCAACCCGGTGGCGCCAGCAGCAGGCCCTGGGTTGGTGCCCACGGGGGCAGCCCCTCCCCACAGGGCTAGGCCCCTCCACGGCGAAGACACGGACGGGGCTGCTCCCCCCGGCGCCCACGGGAGCCCGTCACCAGAGGAGCCTCATCGCCTGCCTGCCCCGCTACCTCTGTCCCCCTCGGCGCCCCCACCCCGAGCCGCCCACCCTGTGCCGGAGCTGCTTCCTCATGACACAGGCGGGCCGTCAGGGCGGGAGGAGGGCGGGGGGGCGCCTGGCCTGGGGGCAGCTGTGGGCCTCGGCCAGGATCGTGTCCCTCCCCAGGTTCACTGTTGAAGTCTTAAGCCCCGAGCCCCTCGGAACGTGACCTTATTCGGAAGGTGGTTGCGGCGTGATTAGTGCCAGGCCTCCTGCCGCCCTGGCTGCTGTCCTCGTTGAAGGGAGGGATGTGGACACTCCCACTCAGGGAAGACGCCGTGTGCAGCCAACGAGAAGAGTCCCAGGGCCTCGGCCGTGAGAGTGGGGGACAGGCTGGGCAAAGGGGCCGCAGGGCAAGAGCTTCTCAACACCTCCTCGGTTCCTTACGCAGTGGAGGGCACAGAGGGCTTGCACCCCCAACCAGGCCCCCTCCAGCCCGCCGGCACTGCTGTGGGGCTGGGGAGGGGCCCTTCGTCGTGGGTACCGAGCCTGCCTTGTGTGTGACCTGCGGGTCAGTGGAAGTGGGGGCAAGGCACACACTTTGGGGAGCCCCTCTGCTGGACAGGCCAACCAGGGGCTGTGGGTGTACTCCCCTCCTCCTCTGCAGTCACGAGGACCCCTCCTGAGCCTTGTTGGAGCCCGCTGGGCTGCACCTCCTCCCACCGCCCCATGGCCCGCACTGGCCTCTCCCTCCTTTGGGGCCTGGTCACCCGCCTCCCCCCAGCCAAGGCTTCCCGACACGGCACTCCCCACTGGTAGCTCTCGCTTCCAGGAACCCCACACCTTGGTCACACCCTTCCCCAACCAACTTGGAAGGAGCCAGCGCCTCCTCCAGCCTGGAAGGCCCTTCGCCCAGGCCCTTCCACAGGGGTGACCCCCCCAGAGGGCGCGCTCCCAGGTCCCTACCACCAGCTCCTGGTTTTCTAACATGTGTTCTGTCTGGGGTCACGGAGGCAACTGCGTGGGCCCAGTCATTCATTCATTCCTCCGTATGCTGTGGCTGCTACCAAAGAGTGGACACTACGCCCCCCAGACAAGCCGAGGACCTCCTGTGTCCACCACCATGTGAGTCCGGACCCTGCCTGCGGAGGGGCACCCAGAGATCCAGCCTGCCAAGCAGGCCAATCCCAGCCTTTAGGGGAGCCTGGAGGCATGGTCTGGCCCCCTCAACTACCTGACAGCATAGCCCCCCCCAGGCCCTCCCACCCCACAACCTGGAACCACTCAGACTGGCCCTTGCCCGGGCCCGTCCTCTTCGTGGGGTTTGTGCCGCCGTTGCCCTGGGAACTTTCCATCGGAAAATGTTGGGTGGGGTGGCGGGCAGACAGGCCAGGGCAGGCTGCAGACGCAGCATGGGTGGATGGGGCTCACCCGTCCCACACCACGGCGTGGCCCACCCTGCGCTTCAAACTCTGCTCTTCACCTCCACCCTCAGCCCAGAGAGCACCTTGTGCGTGGACCCCGGAGGGAGCCTGGGCACACAGATATCCCCCTGTGCCCACCCAAGGGCCGGGGTGTCCTCTCCATGCCCAAGGAGTTTCTGGACCAGCGCCCCATCTGGCCTCCAGGCCCCTGCCCGCTTCTCCCCACTCTTCCTCAGGCTTCCTGTAGGGAGGGGGCAGTGGGCGCCCCGGCTCCTGAAGCCCGGTCTGTGGGTTTGGCTCCCCACCCCAAACAGGGCTGGGTCAGACTTCTGTTTGCACCCCTGCAGAGCTGGCCAAAAGCCTGTGTCTGAGGATGCGGAGGCCGGGGCCTGGGATGCCTTAGAGCAGATATGGGGTGGCCTTCGGCCTTTCCCAGGGGTACCTGGGCCGGGGTCTGGGGCTGAGCCAGGCTCCTCCTGGGCAGGGACAGCCACGCAGCGGGACTCCACGTCGGCCACGTGGCCCTCGTCCCACACTGAGAGACGGTCACACAGCCGCGAGTAGTCGCCCTGACCTCTGGGCTGTCTGCATGCACACCAGAAATTGGTTTGCTGAAGCCACGGCCGCGTCCTCTCCCAAGACGTACTGCGCTGCTCCCCGGGCACCACTTGCGGGGGCCCCCGCCTCGCCGAGCATCCCGCTCCCCACCTGGGCCAGGGACAGGGCCAGCCCTTGGTGGGGCGTGGCCCTGAGCTCGAGGGGGCTTGGCAGGCAGCGGGGGCCTGGCCGGAGCCCACGTGCAAGAGCCAGCGTGGAGGGAGGGGGCCTAGTGGCTGAGCGCCTGAGGCCTCCAGGGTTTGGGGTGGGGAGCTAGGATGGCCAGGAGGGGTCAGGGAGGGGCCACCAACAGGGACCCCCAGAGGGGGTCCTGGCACGGGCGGGGCTGTCCCCTAGAACGCCTCAGGGGAACACCCATTTCCCACCTCCGTCCCTGTCCCCACGGGCAGGAGGCGTGAGTTCAAATGAGAAGCGGCTTTTCTTTGCAAGATGGAAGCACTTCCCAGGAGAAGACGTGGCAAGAGTCACAGTTTGTCACTTACCAGTGCATGTGTCTCTGTGACAGAGAAGCCCAGAGTCCGGGGGATCCTGGCACCCGAGGGACCTGCACCGAGTGCCGGGGGAACAGCGGCCACGTGGCAGGTCCAGGTGGGGCCCTGTGGCCCCGCGGAGGGCAGGAAGGCCCTAGACTTGCCCCCGACGCCGCAAGCCCACCTCAGCTGGGTTAAGGGAAGAGCGAGGAAGAGACCGGCCAGCTGGGCGCCGCCTGCCCCTGTCAGCCCCGCAGAGTCCTTCGCGGCTCAGGCCGGGTGGCGGGGGGAGCCTCTTGTTTCTACGTCGTCCTACGTCCTCCCGGCCGAGTGTGTCACCAAAGTCTCCGAGCAGGGGTGGCGTCCGTGCCCCCCACCCCACGTCATCGGGGGCCGCAGCCCTTCGAGTCCACTCCTAGCACTGATTTCTCATCAGTGGAGATTGTTGGGGTCACTAGTGAGGGAACTTTCCCAGAAGGTTCACAGGCAGCAGAAGCGAGGCAGGCCTTGGGGGGTGGGGACTTGGCCCAGGCCATCAGGCAGGACCATCCTGCTGGTTCTCACCCCTTCCCTGACTCCCACTTCTGTTATTTGGTTACCTTCTTAGGTCATCTGCGGCATAGGCATGCCGGCAGCCCTAGCACCTCAACCCGTTTGCCACTCCCACAAATCCTAAAAAATCGCATTGGCTGTCATTGGGTCACCAGCTCTTACAGGGTTGAACTGTGTCTCCAAAAAAGATATGTTGAAACCAAACCCTCACCTGGCACCTGGGAATCTGACCTTACTTGGAAATAGGGTTTTTGCAGGTGATGTAACCAAGTTAAGATGAGGTCATTCGGGTGGCCCTCATCCAGTGTGGCTGGTGTCCACATGAGAGAGCGGCGTGAGCACGACGTGTGCAGGCAGGTGGGGAGGGCGCCGCGTGGTGACAGAGGCAGGGCTTGACGTGGTGCAGCCCCAGGCTGGACCCGAGGGGTGGCAGCCCAGCGCCCAAAGCTGGGGGTGCAGGGCAGACTCAGCAGGGAGGCTCAGAGGGGACTTCTCCCTCCGGGACTGGACAGCATGGACCTCGGACCCTCGTTACTCTAAACCTCCCAGTCTGTGGCCTTTTGGGGCTGCTTGGGGCAGCCTGGCTTCCTGCCCACAGAGGGGGGCACACGGGGTCCTGCGGCCCAGAGGTGGGGAGGGAGTGGCTCCGAGTGACCGGGCCTCACGGGGAAAGGGGCTGCGGCTGTTGCTGGAGCCAAGGGCAGACGGGAGGGAGGAGGTGGCCAGTGACTTCGGGGCGCCCCGGGCAAGCGTGACCAGCCTCAGCCCACGTCAGAGCAGGGGAGTGGTGGCAGCTCAGAGGACAGATCCCCTCCCAGCCTCCCGCGGGCCTCATGCCACGTCTGAGCCCGAGTCTGGGGGCGCACAGACGGAAATTGCAGGAGGAGCAGCTGCATTCGTAGACCCGTGTTGGGGTCTGACGCGCCCCTGGCCGGACAACCCCGTTACCCTCGGGTGGCCTCGGAGAGCAGAGGGCAGCACGAGCGAGGCACTCTGAGCTCCTGACCCGCTGCCAAGAAAATCCGACGGCGGGGCAGCAGACGCCCTGATGGCCTGGCCCGCAGGGGCTCCTCGCGGCCTAAATTAGCTAAAGTCGCGCCAGGCCCTGCCCAGCTCTGCCCCAGCCCCTGCGTGCTGTTCTGGCGGAAGGGGCTTCCCTGTTTCCTTTGTCCATCCATCCGTCTCCACTCTTGGGATTGGGCAGAGTCTACACAGAGCATCCCAGTGTCCCCTGGCCCCTGACCAGGACATTCTCGCGTCAGAGGACGGGCGTGATACTCCGTGCACCGCTGGACCGTGGGATCCCATGGCCGGGCTGAGACAAGGGCAGCCGTGTGAGCCACCCTGTCATGACATATAATGGCCTTGTCATCATGCCACAACAATGCCGGGGCTCGTGGTCCTCTTTCTCCATGGCTACAGAAGGGAACGCGTTCCCAGGCCTCAGAGCGACAGGGATTTGCCTACATAGGATTTTGCATAAGACAATCCCGAACCAGTCACTTCATGGCGACGGAGGTGACACAGCGGGCAGGAGCCACGGGACCCGCAGTCGTCCTCCGTACGGCCACGCCTGGCAGCCGTAAGGTGGTTGGAGCTACACCTGCGAGGCTGAGCGCCGTCCTCAGAGATGGGTGTAGGTCTGGAGCCCGTAACCGCTCTGCGCACAGGTGAGCTCTGTGGGTCTGGGCGTGAAGGGTGCAAGCAGGCCCCAGGGGCCCCTGTGGGGGTGAGTCAGCGCCTCCCATCGTGCGCTGCAGGTCCGGGGGGCCTGGATCCGGGGAGGCCTGCTTCCTCCCGGTGACACAGCTGGGGGTTCACCTGAACCTAGGCCCTTGGGCGCCCCTGGTTCCTTTGGGCTCCACATACCGATGGACCAGCAGTCTCCGGAGTGGCTGACGAGACTCGCCAGGAGGCTGCGCTGCTGCTGCCGAGGGGCTGAGGCGTGTGTGAGGCCCAGGGTCCGCTAGGATGCTGCCGGGCATCCGGGCCCTCATGCACACGCGGGTCCAGCACCTCGACTGGGAGGCGGGAGCGTAGGGTGCAGGGGGAGGAGAGCCAGTTACGGCCTCGGGACAGCTTGGGCAGCGGATGCCACGGCTCGGCTTCCCCGCCCTCCCGGCGAGGACCCCCCTCACTTCGGCAGCGTCTGAGTTAAAGTCCATCTCCCTCTCGTCAGAAACCCCCAGGTCCCCAGGGCTCATCCCCGTGCCAGGCGCACAGTGGGTGCACCAGTAACCCTGAACTAGTCAATGAATCCAATCAGGTTGGAGGCACCTGGGCCAAGCGACCTGCCCCAGGTTCCACTGGGGAGAGCGGGAGGTGCGTGTCTAGGCTCTCCCCGCTCCCCACCCGGACCTCGCCCTCAGCACCCAATCCGAGCCTGGGCTGCCGGCCGAGCCCTGGGCCCGATCTGGAGGGCATGGTTCGAGGTGGGCACGTGCGCAGGCTGCCGTGGCCGCGGCTGCGGTGGAGGGGCCTGCTGACCCCGCCTCCCACCTCTTAGGGCCGCGTCCGGCCCGCTTCTCCCTGGATTTGTTCTCCAGCTCCCATGACACAGCAGGCCGCGTGGGGCCCCTGGGTCTTCCAGGTGGGGCACAGCAAATGATGGGCCGACCTGAGCGGGAAGAAGGGGGGCCACAGGGCCAAAGGAGACGCCCCTGCAGCTGGGTCTGTCCCGTGAGCCAAGTGCGCTCCGCGGTGGTCCCTGCCGAGTCTGGGCCTTTCCCCGAAGACACCCCCGTGCTCTTAAAGAGAGGCAGGGTGAGGGCAGCCCAGCACCACCTGGCTGGCGAGGGCAGGACACACGGCCCCACGCACCTGGGGAGCCGCAATCCGTGCCCCGCAGTAGACGGGGCGCAGCTGTGGGAAGGAGGGGCCATGCGGGGCACCCCAAGGAGCTGCACCAGCTGCGGGCCCTGCGAGGTAAGTGAGGCCCGGGGTCATAGAATGCTCCTGCCTGTGTAGGACGCGGAGCTGCCCGTGCCCTGGGCCCCTGTGACCACGACTGCACACACAGGGCCTGAAACACAGAAGTTTCCCCTCCCACAGTCTGGGGACTGGACGCTGAAATCAGGGCGTTGGGGCCATGCTCCCTCGGGGGCTCTGGGGAAGATGCTTCCCGCCTCTTCCAGCCACTGGGGCTCCTGTGCCCCTGGCTTGTGGCCATGTCCACGTGGCCTCTTTTCACCCGTGTGTGTCTCTTACAGTGACATTTGTCATTGGATGTAAGGCCCGCCTGGATAACCCAGGAAGGTCTCATCACAAGATCCTTAATCCGCTTACATCTGCAGAGATCTGTCTTTTTCATTCACAGGTGAAGGGACTAGGATGTGGACACTACAGGGAGGAGGTCCATAGTTCTATTTGTATTTAAAAAGCAGAGGGACCCACAAATGTGCTCTTCATTAGGGCTGACCAGCCAGGCTTGTGGGGGCGAAACTCTTGTCACTTGTTGGTGATGATAAGTTGAACTGCCCCCCCCCCAAGATATGTTGGAATCCTAAGCCCCCAGGAGCTCAGGCCGAGCGCGGTTGGGAGCAGGCCCCCGGCAGCTGGCCCGGCTGGTTGCAGTGAGGCCCCAGCGCGGTAGGCCGAGCCCTCCGCAGGGAGGACGGGCGTCCCGCTGGGACAGAGACGCACGGAGAGGCCCGATGGCGGCAGCGGAGACGAACGGGCACCCCAGCCCAGGGCGCCCGGGTGGCGGCCCCTCCAGCAGCTGGAGCAAGGCCTGGGACGCCCCCGAGCCTCCGGGAGGAGCTGCCCCACCTACCACCTGAGCTTGGACCTTTGGCCTCCGGGCCTGGGAGGAGCAGGAGCTTCTGTCGTTTTTTTTTTTTTTTTTTTTTTTTAATTTTTTTTAAATTTTTTTATTTATTTATGATAGTCACAGAGAGAGAGGGAGAGGCAGAGACACAGGCAGAGGGAGAAGCAGGCTCCATGCACCGGGAGCCCGATGTGGGATTCGATCCCGGGTCTCCAGGATCGCGCCCTGGGCCAAAGGCAGGCGCCAAACCGCTGCGCCACACAGGGATCCCCTAGCTTCTGTTGTTTTAAGCTGCGGTGTGCATTGCTTGGCGACAGGTGCCCCCGGCCCCTCCTGCGCCACCCCATCCGTTAGTCCCACCTGTGCCCACCTGGAGCTCTACGCCTGAGCATGATGTTACTTTGGGCCCGTGCCCACATGTAGCCTGAGGCCTGGGCATCTCCCTGTTACATGCCCCGGGTGTGGGGGGGGAGCAGAGGACTCAGGGGAGTCGGGGACACCCTCCTACAGGGAGGCTGAGCTCCCTGAGCAGCTGGGCGGGGGCCGGGGGGGGTTGGATGCCAACCTGGGGTGACCCTAAGTGCTGCCGTGTACTTTGGTTCTGGGGCTTAGGGCTGATGACACAACCATGGGGACCCTAGTGGGCCCCACAGCCTCAGACTCCCTGTTCCCTCTGGCCCCATATTCAGGCTCTCGGATCCCCCGCAAAGCCCCCCGCCGAGAGCCCCTGCACCCTTCCAGCCCTCCGCCCAGAACTGCCCTCCTGTGTCACCCGTGTGTGCCCCACGGGGTGGGCTGCAGGCTCCTCCCTCCGAGCCAGCCCCGGAGGAGCTCCTGAAGCAGGAAGGGGAGCCTGGGCTCCGGACAGCCCTCCCAAGGGCCCCCGGACACCCAGTGGGGGTGCAGGGGGGGCAGTGCAGGGCAGCTCCTCAGGCTCCGGCCCACTGCGCCCTGGCCTGGTCCCTCCGCTGCCCTGACGGCAGGGGCCACTGGGGGCCCTGCTGGCAGCTGGGCAGGAAAAGGAGATGGAACCACAGAAGGAAACCCAGTGCCGCAGGGGCGGAGGCCGACATCCGGTGCAGGGGGTCCCAGACGCCACCTGAACAAGCCCTGCCGAGTGTCTGAAGCAGCGATGGGACTCAGTTTCCCGGAGTGGAGGACCAAGGGCCTGGTCAGGGAGAGACCGGGAAAGTGGGCCCTGACACGGCAGTGGGACCAAACAGTCCAGAGACAAGAGGGAGATTCTACAACCGTGGGGGGAGGGGGGGGCGGGAGCCTGTGACAGGGCCCGGGCCAGACAAGGGAGTGCTGTCTTCACGCCTGGGAGGGCTGGGATTTGCACCTCCCTGGCTCCCCCCCTCCCTGGCTCCCCCATTATCATAACAACAACAATGCTCTGGGGGGGGCAGCCCTCCCAGGAGCCCTTTGGAGCTAACAGGAAGAAGGAAATAAGAAAAGAAACAAATGGACCAAGGGTGGGGGAGTGGGGTGTCGGGGTGTCCAGCCCACAATAAAGGAGACATTGTGGCCCCAGGAGCCCAGGGACAAGGCCAGCGACCCCGACCTGGCTCTGAGGGTGGCCGTGGGGCTGGGAGAGGCCAGCAGCGCGGGAGAGGGGACAGAGAGAAGGACAAGGGACAGGACTGACTCAGAGAGCAGCAAAAATGAGAACAGAAATACAAAAGACAGTTCTTTTTAAGATCAACGGAAGAAAACTAGATTCGTGCGGTGGGCAACAGACAAGGGGGGAGGAAAGGAACAAATGCAAAGCGCAGGAAACAGAAGATGCGCAGTCAGTGGCAGGTGGGCGCACGCTAGACTCGCCAGTTAGAAGAGACTCTTGGATTGGATTTGAAAAAAGCACAAACAAGATCCAGCAGCACGTTGTCTGCAAGGGTCAATCTTTCCATTTTTTTTAAGATTTATTTTTGAGAGAGAGAGCACGCGCGTGTGCTGCGAGCCAGTGCAGGCAGGGGAGGGGCAGAGGGCGAGGGGGAGTCTCAAGCAGACTCTGCAGGGCGCCCGACCCCAATGTGGGGCTCGATCTCATAAGCCCAAGATCATGACCTGAGCCAAAACCAAGAGTAGGATGGTCAACCCACTGAGTCGCCCAGACTCCCTGCAAGGACCGCTATTAATTAATTATTAATTAATTAACAATTAATTGATTGATTAATAGATTTTATCTGTTTATTCATGAGACACATACAGAGAGGTGGATACCCAGGCAGAGGGAGAAGCGGGCCCCTGTGGGGAACCCCACACGGGACTCGATCCCAGGACCCCGGGGTCACGCCCTGAGCCCAGGCAGACAGGCTCTACCACGGAGCCACCCCAGCGCCCTGGACACTGGTTTTCAATTCTCTTAAAATTCCTCCCTAGCCCCTGGGAGTGGAGCTGTGGGACCTGCCCGCACCCCGCTCTCCAAAGCGGCCGGGCCATTTCACCTTCTGGCCAGTTCCCACCAGTTCCCACCAGGTCCCGCCAGCGTGAAGATTCCAGTTTCAACACTTGCTATTTCCTGCTTGTTTGTTTCTTTTTAAATTTTGGCCATCCTCTGAAGGTCAAGTCCTATCCCACTGTGGTTTTGATTTGCCTTTCCCTCGTGACTAATGACTTTGAGCATCTTTCCACGTGTTTCTTAAGCGTTTGTAGATCTCCTTTGGAAAATGTCCACTCAAATCCTTTGCTTATTTAAAAAGTTTTCTTTTGGGACACCCAGTGACCCAGTGGTTTAGTGCCTGCCTTCCACCCAGGATGTCATCCTGGGGTTCCGGGATCAAGTCCCACATCGGGCTCCCTGCATGGAGCCTGCTTCTCCCTCTCCCTGTGTCACTGCCTCTCTCTGTGTGTCTCTCATGAATAAATAAAAAAATTAAATAAAATTAAAAAAATTTTAAATTAAAAGTTTCTTTTCTACTGTTGAATCATAAGTACCTTTTATGGATTCTAAATACAAGTCCCCTATCAGCTAGTGATTTCCAAATGTTTTCTCCCGTTATGTGCATTGTCTTCTTGCTTTCTAGATGGTGACCTTTAGGCGCAGGAAGTTTTAGTTTTGATGACGTCTAACATTTCTGATTACTTATGCATTTGGTGTCTTTGTAAGAAATTGTTGTGTTTTTTTTTTTAAGATTCTATTTATTTATTTTAGAGGAACAGAGAGTGTACATGCAAGCCGGGAGCAGGAGGGAGAGAGGATCTCAAGCAGACTCTGGGCTAAGCTCGGAGCCAGACACAGGGCTCAATCTCACCACCCCAGGATCACACACGACCTGAATGGAAACCAAGAGTCGGACATTTATCTGGCTGAGCCAGTCGGGTGCCCCAGTAAGAAAAAATTCTTAATTCAAGGTAACCAAAATTTACTTCTATGTTTCTTCTAAAAGTTCAATGGTTGGCTCTTAATTTAGGTGTTTGGTCCATCTTGAGTCAATTTCTGTGTATAACATATGGTGGGTGTCCAGCTCATTCTTTGGCATGTGAACATCCAGCTGTCCTAGCTCCATTTGTTAAAAGATTATTGTTTCCCACTGAATGATCTTCACATCCTTGTCCAAAATTAATTGATCAAGCCTCACTTATTTTCCACTGATATGTATGTCTGTCCTTATACCAGAACCATACCATTGATTTGTAGGAGGTTTTTATTTTATTTTATTTTATTTTATTTTATTTATTTTATTTTATTTTATTTTATTATTTTTTAAAGATTTTAGTTATTTATTCATGAGAGACAGAGAGAGAGAGGCAGAGACACAGGCAGAGGGAGAAGCAGGCTCCATGCAGGGAGCCTGATGTGGGACTCGATCCCGGGTCTCCAGGATCAGGCTCTGGGCTGAAGGGGTGGCTAAACCGCTGAGCCACCCGGGCTGCCCTCCTACTGTTTTCCTTTTCCCTGTTTCTGCTCTCATCCTTATTATTCCCATCTTTCTGCTTGCTTTGGGTTTGGATTTAGTTTACTCTTCTTTTCTAGTTTCTTAAGGTGAAAGGTTAGTTATTAATTTGAGTTGTTTGATCTTTTCAGTATAGGTATTTAAAGATATAAATTTCTCTGAGCACTGCTTTTACCACTTCCCATAGCTTTGATATGTTGTGGTTTTGTTTTTAGTCATTTCAATGTACTTTCTAATTTCCCTTGGAATTTCCTCTTTGACCATTAGTATTTTAGGAGTGTGCTGTTTAATTTCCACAGATGTGTGAGAGTTCCAAATTTCTTGCTTTCCCTTGATTTGTACTTTCATTCTATTTTGGTCAGAGAATATCTTTTGCATGATTTCAATCTTTTTAAATGTATTGAGACCTATTTTATAGCCTAACCTATGATCTGCCCTGGAGAAAGTTTCACATACACTTGAGAAGATTATGCGTGATTTCGTGGGATGTTCTATTATGTCCTTTAGATCTACTTGGCTTATACTGTTGTTTGGGTCTTCTCTTTGCTGATCTTCCATCTAATTGTTCTATGTATTACAAAAGTTGGGTATTGACACTTCCAACTATTATTGTCGAATTATCAGTTTCTTCTTTAATTTTGTCAGGTTTTGCTTCACGTATTTTGAGTCTCCGTTGTTGGGTACGTATATGTTTATAAATGTCATGTCTTCTGGATGGACACCTTTTTTTTTTTTAAGTAGTCTCCACGTTCAGCCTGGAGCCCAATGGAGGGCTTGAACTCATGACCCTGAGCTTGAGACCTGAGCTGAGATCAAGAGTCAGATGGTGAGCCCCTCCAGACACCCTGAGGGATTGACACTTTTATCATTTCATAGATGTCTTTGTCTCTAGTAATAACTTTTGTCTCAAATATTGTTTTGTCTGATATTAATATCCACTCCAGGTCTTTCCTTTTTTATTTTTATTTTTTTTAAATTTTTATTTATTTATGATAGTCAGAGAGAGAGAGAGAGAGAGGCAGAGACATAGGCAGAGGGAGAAGCAGGCTCCATGCACCGGGAGCCCGACGTGGGATTCGATCCCGGGTCTCCAGGATCGCGCCCTGGGCCAAAGGCAGGCGCCAAACCGCTGCACCACCCAGGGATCCCCGGTCTTTCCTTTTTAAAAATAGCTATTTTCTGAGTGGTCGCCCCTGCAGATTATCATTATCATTTTAATTGATAACAATCTAATTTGGATTATTACCAACTACACTTCAGTAGCATTCTAAAGCACTGCTCCTATATAGCTCAATTCCACCATTTTTGCTGTTATTGTCACAAATTACCATTCTATATATTGTATGAGCACCAACTTAGATTTATATTGCTCGTGTAGTTGTCCTTTAGGTCAGGAGAAAAAAAGGCAGTTACAAACAATAACTACACTTACACTGTGTCTTCTATTTATCTTTGCACTCTTCTTTACTGGGGCTTTGAATTTCTTCATGTGAAACTCAGTGATTGTCTAGTGCCCCTCCATTTCAGCCTGAAGGACTCCCTGCAGTATTCCCTGTAGGTCAGGTCCACTAACAACAAACTCTTCCAGCTTTTCTTTATTATTACTAAGAATATCTTAGGTTTTTCTTCATTTTTGAAGAATGGTTTTGCTGGATATAGAATTATCAGTTGTCTTTTTTTCTTTTAGCACTTTGAATATGTCACCGCACATTGGGTACACGTCAGATCTCTGAAGTGCTGTACATTTCTTAATTTCTTTTTCTGTTTCTAAGACGAGATAATCTCAATTGATGCATCTTCAACTTCAATAATTCTTTTCTCTGCTCAAATTTGATGTTGAGCCCCTAGAGTGAATTTTTTATTTCAGTGATTATACTAACCAACTCCAGAATTTCTATTTGATAACTTAAAAAAAAATTTTTTTTTCAGTTCTTGGCTGGCTCAGTGGAAGGAACATGCAACTCTTGGTCCTGGGGTCATGAGTTCAAGCCCCAGATTGGGCATAGAGATTACATAAATGAATAAAACTTTAAAAAAAATTTAGGGGGATCCCTGGGTGGCGCAGCGGTTTAGTGCCTGCCTTCGGCCCGGGGCATGATCCTGGAGTCCTGGGATCGAGTCCCACGTCGGGCTCCCTGCATGGAGTCTGCTTCTCTCTCTGCCTGTGTCTCTGCCTCTCTCTGTGTCTCTCATGAATAAATAAATAAAATCTTTAAAAAAAAATTTAGGGACACCGGGGTGGCTCAGCGGTTGAGCACCTGCCTTTGGCCCAGGGCATGATCCTGGGATCCAGGATCGAGTCCCACATCGGGCTCCCTCTATGGAGCCTGTGTCTCTGCCTCTCTCTCTGTGTCTCTCATGAATGAATACATAAAAGCTTTTTAAAAATTAAAAAAAATAAAAATTTAAGAATTCAAAAAATAAAATACATTTTATATTGTGTTAAAATATGTAAAACAGGGATCCCTGGGTGGCTCAGCAGTTCAGCACCTGCCTTCGGCCCAGGGTGTGATCCTGGAGGCCCAGGATCCAGTTCCACGTTGGGCTCCAGGCATGGAGCCTGCTTCTCCCTCTGCCTGTGTCTCTGCCTCTCTCTCTCTCTCTCTCTCTCTTTCTCTGTCTCTCATGAATAAATAAATAAAATCTTTAAAAAAAATAAAATGTAAAAAAAATAAAAAAATAAATAAAATGTGTAAAACACAAAATTTACCATCTTAACCATTTTAAAGTGTATGGATCAGTGGCATTGAATTCATTCGTATTCTTTTTTTTTAAGATTTTATTTATTTATTCATGAGAGACACAAAGAGAGGCAGAGACACAGGCAGAGGGAGAAGCAGGCTCCATGCAGGGAGCCCAACGTGGGACTCGATCCCGGGTCTCCAGGATCACACCCTGGGCCGAAGGCAGGTGCTAAACCGCCGAGCCCCCCGAGCTGCCCTCGTTCACATTCTTGTACAGCCATTGCCACTGTTCATTTCCCGAACTTTTTTTATCATCCCACGGTGAAATTCTGGACCTATTAAACCATAACTCCCCACGCCCCACCCCACCGCCAGGCCCTGGTGGTCACGGTCTTACATTCTGTCCCTACCTATGTGACTATTCCAGGTACTCATACGAGGGGAATCATGAAGTGTTTGTTTTCTCGAGTCTGGATTACTTCACATTGACCACAATGACTTTAAGGTTCTTTCAAATTGTGACATATATCAGAATTTCATTCTGTTTAAAGGCTGAATGATAGTCCCTGTGTGTGCATACCCAATTTTGTGTATCCATTCATCTGTCAATGGATACTTGAGTTATTCCTCGTTTCCTCTTTGTAAATTTATTCTCAGTCATAATAAGTGAACTGGCTGACACTGCCATCTTCATTTCAGGATCCTCGCTGATGAAATGACCATTATCTGGAATATTTCTGGTCTTCCTGGCTGAGGGAAAGAGACCTCTGGCAATCATGTTCTCTGGCGTGAAGATGAAGGCGCCACTTCCTCTCACACCTGTCACATGGTGTCAGCTGACCACGGAGGGACCAGGCCATGCAGCCCTCCCGTGCGGTCGAAGATGGAGCGGAGTTGGTGACTACTCACTTGAGTGAAAACCATCATATGCATCCCATTTACCATAATTCTAAGTATTCAGTTTTGTAGTTTATTCTCTAAATAATGAGTAACAGCATTTGGTATTGGTGATTATATCCTGCATAAACGGTCTGGCATCATGTTACTGGATTTTGCTATGATTTCTGAAAAATAAAAAATATTCACCTTTTTCCAGGTGTACAGTTGTTTGGATGGTCTTCCAAACCCTAGGTATTGCCTCGTCAAAACCTGAACCGAGCCCTGGCACAGCCTACGGACACCTACAAGGGTAACATTTCTGACATTGAAAACTTCCTGGTTTGGGGGTGCCTGGGTGGCTCAGTAGGTTAATCGTCTGCCTTTGGCTCAGGTCACGATCCCAGGGTCCTGGGATGCAGCCCATGTTGGGCCCCATGCTCAGCGGTAAGCCTGTTTTTCCCTCTCCCTGTCCCCCTGCTTGTGCTCTCGCACTCTCTCTCTCTCAAATAAATAAAAGCTTAAAAAAACACTTCTGGGTTTTAATATGGATCTCTCAATTTTCTTTCCAGCAATATTTACACGGGAACCTTTTATATTTCTATCCCCCCAAATCAATGAAAGAACTTTACCAAAACAATGTGTGGAGAGGGCACCCCGGGTGGCTTAGTCAGTTAAGCTCAGCATCTGCCTTCGGCTCAGGTCATGATCTGGGGTCCTGGGATCGAGCCCCATGTCAGGGTCTCTGCTCAGCTGGGAGTCTGCTTCTCCCTGTCCCTCTGCCGCTCCTCCCACCCCACTCGTGCTCGCTCTCTCTTTCTCAAGTAAATAAAATCTTGAAAAAATAATGTGTGGGGGAAATCTTGAGGCCCGTGTCAGAAACAATGGACAGAGGATGGTAATTAGATGAGGGCGTTTGCACAGCTCAGGGGTGAACAAACCGGCGTGTGCGTGCCTGGGCCAGGCCTGGGGCAGAAAGAGGCCTCATTCCTGCCGACGGACGTGTGAGCACCGTGGTCCGCCCCAGACTCCAGGAGGGAAGTGTTTGCATTTTACATTCGCTTATATGTGTTACTTACACACCAACGTTATACTGGTTTTTAGTTACATTGCAATTTTCCCCACTTGAAATAGACTCCTAACTGGTATTTTTGTGGAGAATGTCTGACTTTTAGGAGTAGATTCTTGACATTATATGGGAGACACCTACGTGTGAGCAACTGATAGCAGCAAACACCTAAATCATACTTTTTAATCCACTAATTTTTTACACATTAAAAAAAAGATTTTATTTATTTATTCATGAGAGACACACACACAGAGAGGCAGAGACACAGGGGTTGGGAGAAGCAGGCTCCATGGAGGGAGCCCGACGCCGGACTCGATCCCGGGTCTCCAGGATCACACCCTGGGCTGCAGGTGGCGCTAAACCGCTGGGCCCCTGGGGTTGCCCTTTCTTACACTTTTGAAAAAGCCCGAATGTTCCATATCATTACTGACTTGCACATTACATCTTCACCTTCACCGAGACACACTTTGCAGCCACACTCATCACCTGGCATTCTCTGTGCCCAAAGAAGTTGAAATAAAAACAAAATCTTTTGAGTGTTATGTTTTATGAAATAATAAGCTTTTAGGGTTTTTTCCCCTCAATTTCACCATTTGGAAGAAACCGTGTTTAAGAAGTGTCCCGCAGCCCCTTGCTGGGACGGTGTCACTGGAGGTGAGCTGGCAGCGCTGCTCAGGGCTGGGGGTGGGGTGTGGGACCCAGGAAATTTAACAAAAATCCCCTACCCCTGGACAAGCAGAGCAGGACTGATTCCATTTTGTGCTACACCCGCCACCTCCTGTATGACCCCCACATGACCTGCTTATTGCTTAAGGCACTGCCCCACCCTAGTCGAGCCACTGGGCCCACCCTAATCGGAAATCGGCTCATAACAATGTAACCCTGCTTTGTGCCGGCCAAGACTGCACGCCGATTCTGACCGTAATAGGCCAGCTCAAGTGGATCCTATAGGGTAAGGTGTAATTCAATCGGCCACCTGCGTGCGGACCGACATGACTGTGCAACTTGCTGCGTATCCCATGGGCCACTGGCCCCTATAAAGTTGCTAGGCCTCTTAGTCTCGGGGTCCAAGTCCCTGCTCCGCCGTGTCGGGTGCACTTGGACCCAAGCCCGAGCTTGTAAATAAACCCTCGGAAGTTTGCATCGGTGTCGGCTCCTTGGTGGTTTCTCAGATTCGGGATCTTGGGCACAACAAGGGGCAGCCCTGGAAGGCCTTTTGCTTCCCGACGGGTTCTGTTCCCCAGAGGGCTGGTGTGCTTGAAGCTTCGCCACGGCCTCACCCTCCCGCTCGGGAAGCCCGTTGGCGCTTGGAGCAAGGCTCTGGGCCGCCATCTGGTGGGAGGTCCCGTGGCAACACCTGCCTTTGCCAACAGCGCCGGGCGGGAAACCATCCTGAGAAGAAAGAAACAGCTGTCTAAATGAAGAAGGAAGTCTGTGGCACGATGCCCCTCCTTAGGGGACATGCTCCCTCGGGGTGCCCGGGGGCCTCAGCGGTCGGGCGTCTGCCTCCAGCCCAGGGCGTGACCCCGGGTCCCGGGATCGTGTCCCGCGTCCGGCTCCCTCCGTGGAGCCTGCTTCACCCTCTGCCTGGGTCTCGGCCTTGCTGTGTCTCTGGGTCTCTCATGAATCAATAAATAAAATCTTTAAAAGAAAAAGAAATAGGGATCCCTGGGTGGCCCAGCGGTTTGGCGCCTGCCTTTGGCCCAGGGCGGGATCCTGGAGACCCGGGATCGAATCCCACGTCGGGCTCCCGGTGCATGGAGCCTGCTTCTCCCTCTGCCTGGGTCTCTGCCTCTCTCTCTGTTTCTGTGTGAGTGACTATCATAAATAAATAAAAATGAAAAAAAAAGAAAAAGAAATAGCAATGCTCTTGCAGTGACTGTGCTCCCCGCCTGGCCAAGGGCCAGTCACAAAGACAGACGGAGGAGTCGATGGGGAGGACCAGTCGGAGGGGAGGACCGCATGGAGGGAACTCCCGCAGCACCGTCTTCCCCTCAGACGCCGGCCACCCCCTGGCAGGTCCCCAGCGCCCCCGCTCTCACAGGCGGGCAGGTGGTCCCCACAGGATACGCGGGTCGGGGGCAGCGAGCAGCCCAGCGCCGACGGGGGGAGGGGGCGGCCCATGCTTCCACCTGCCCCGCTCCAGACCCGCCACACAAGCCCCCCCTTTTCTGGGGTGAGGGGAGGGGGCTTCCCCCAACCTCCCGGCTCCCCTATGTCCACTGGCCTGTGGTTCCCTAAGCTAGGGCCCCAGAGGCTGGGCCGCCCCCTTGGGGGACGAAGCCCAGCGGGTCAGCAGCGTGTCCCACTGCCCGCCCCCAGCCCCGTGCCCCTTCGTGCCCCGGGGGGGCCTCCTGCTGTGCGGGTGGGGGGATGCCCAGAAGCCTCAGAAACGCATCAGAACGGAACGTGGGTGACGTGGACCGGGTCTTTGTGCTTCTGTTGCGAGGTCTGTGGGGTCGACCTTGCCCACTGGCTGGGGTATTTCTGTGGCCAGAAACCCTTCCCCGCTATTTGCTGACCCAGAGTCTCGTTTGCATAGGAAAAGCAGGATAGGTGCTTGGCTCTTTCTTTTTTCCTTTTGATTTAATTAATCTCCAATTGTAAGATGTTTAGCTTATTTCCAATTTTTAAAGAATTGTTATCTTTTCTGGCAGCCCGGGTGGCTCAGTGGTTTAGCTTCACCTTCGGCCCAGGGCGTGATTCTGGGGTCCCAGGATCGAGTCCCACATTGGGTTCCCTGCATGGAGCCTGCTTCCCCCTCTGCCTGGGTCTTTGCCTCTCTCTCTCTCTCTCTCATGAATAAATAAATAAAATCTTTAAAAAAAAAGAAATGTTACATTTCCTTTTGTTGCAGTAAAATATACATAAAATTTATGTTTATAAAAAAGATTCTAGGGGATCCCTGAGTGGCTCAGTGATTTGGCGCCTGCCTTTGGCCCAGGGCGCGGTCCTGGAGTCCCGGAATCGAGTCCTGCATCGGGCTCCTGGCATGGAGCCTGCCTCTCTCTCTCTCTATGTCTATCATAAATAAATAAATAAATAAATAAATAAATAAATAAATAAATAAATAAATAAATAAATAAATAAAATCAATCTTTAATTTTTTTTAAAGATTCTATTTATTTATTTGACAGAGAAAGACCGCGGCAGTGAGAGAGAGCAGGGGCGGGAAGAAGAGGGGGAGGCAGGCTCTGCTGAGCAGGGAGCCCAATGTGGGGCTCGGTCCCCGGGACCCCAGATCATGACCGAGCCAAAGTCAGGAGCTTCTCGCACTGAGCCCCCAGGCGGCCTTCACCTTCACCACTTTTAAGGGTTGGCTTCTGCGGATCCTACCCATGCCCGGCATGCAGCCGATCACCACTGTCCTTCTGCAGAACCCTTTCCATCTTGTAAAACTGGAACAATACACATTAAACACGAAGTCCAAACGGTCACGTCCTCCAGCCCTTGGTCACCCTGCCACTTGCTGTCTCTGTCACTTTGCGTGCCTCTTATTCGCGAATCGTACGGCATTTGTCTTCCCAGGCTGGCTTATCTCGCAGAGCACAATGTCTTCAAAGCTCGCCCACAATTACGTGTCAGAAGGTCTTGCCGGTGACAGCTGAATCACGTCCCGCGTACAGCTGGACCCTTTGCCTGCCCCCTCCTCCGTCGATGGACACTCGTGTCACTTCCATCTTTCAGCTACTGCGAATATCGCTGCTGGGAATGCGGGTGTACAGGTACCTACTCAAGTCTTCGCTTTCAATTCCTTGGCGTCGACGCCCGCGGGTGAAAAGGCAGGATCGTATGGTCACGATATCATTGATACTTTGAGGAAATGCCATAGGGTTTCCCACCGTTATTCTAGCACCTTCCCTCCCAGCAGCTGTGCACATGGGGTGTTCGGGCACTCCCTAGCCTTGCCCACACTTGTTATGCATTTTATTTTATATTATTTTATTATTTTTTTAAAGATTGTATTTATTTATTCATGGGAGACACAGAGAGAGGCAGAAACACAGGCAGAGGGAGAAGCAGGCTCCCTGCGGGGAGCCCGACGTGGGACTCGATC